ACCTCACCAAAAACTCCCATTTACAAGGAAAAGATGTATTCAGAACCCCTTAAACAAGTCTCACTCACGCCTTCTGGCTTTATCTTATCACATCATAATTCCATCACAGCGTCTCCAGAGCCGCCTCACATGCCTCTCATCAAATGAGAGAGAGAATGAGGTGTGTCAATTAACAACATGTATGGCCAATGCTAAGACAACAAACTACTTACACTTTTTTTTTTTTTTTGAGACGTCTGTTCAATCCCATTGAGTATGCCTCTCTTCAGGTCTGACTTCTGGGGCTCCAAGCAGTCATCCGGGGACCAGAGGAACCCTGAGTTTCAGGATCCCCATTTCATCCTTCGGCTTAGGAGCAATGAGAAGAAAGGCCCCTAAGCATGTCCATCCAGGGAGGAGCAGGGATGGCAACAATCTTTAAGGACTCATGCAGTCCACCTCCAGAGGGTCAGCCAGAATCCCCAACACAGGGGTAAGTGGTGAGTCACAGAGGCAAAGCCATTTACAAAAACTGCCCTGAGAATGTTATGAACACACACAAGCTGCCTTTTGGTTAAAATATGTGCTGCTAGATGACTATGGCTACTTATTTTATCATAACTTAATTACAGTGTAAGATGCAGATCCTTGACGCAGTGGCCTATCACAGGCATTCCAAAGCATCACACAGCCACACTATTGCTTAACATATCTACCAGCACCAAAAGGCATGCCAGAGGCGGAGCAGGGCTGCAGGGATTTGAAGGGAGTAGAGAGAAAGAAAAGGGACCCTTCCGGCAGGCAGCCATGTCTTTACTGTTAAAGGATCTAAACTCCAATGGCTCTCCAGTGCCCAGTCCCTAGAAAGAGAAAGTTTGAAGGGACTAGGAAGAACTGGGCACTCACCACCAAGCCTGACAACTGAGTTTAACCCCCAGGTCCCATGTGACAGAAGCAGAGAACTGATTTCCAAAGCTGTTCTCTGACCTCCGAGTGCATGCTGTGGGACACACCTGTCCCCACTTACAAATGGGTAACTATTTAAAAGAGGAGAGAGAAACGGAGACAGACAGACAGAAGCCCTGGGTGGGAGTAGGTGTGTGGCTGACTAACCTCCTGGGCTGGTGAAGCTTGCCTCTGGTTTCAGAACCCAGGACTCAGAGGTCATTGCCAGTTGTAGAATGTGCCCACCCACCACGGTTGTCTATAATGTGAATTTCAGCATTGTTCTCTACATTGTTCTCTCACAAAAGCAAAACCAAAAAAAAAAAAAAACTCAGCCACACTCCCTAACAAATGAGTCCTAAGTGTGTTGTCCCATGACCAGTCACCAACAGGAGCATGGATTGATTTGCATACTTCAGCAGACATCTTAAAGCTTGGCAGTGTTCCTGGAGTCCAAGCGGTGGCCCTGAGGCCTGCCCTGGGAAAGGGAAGCAGGTACTTCAGCCATGGGAAGCTCATCCCTAAGAGAAAGTTCCAGCTGACTGCCTCAGGTTCTCCGGAGGTTTCTGCAGGATGCATCTTGAGTTGACGGGGCTCCCTTACTGCTGTCATTTGCCCTTTTACTTAGAAGCTTGACCCAAAGGAACATCCTGCTCCCGAGGGGACACTCCATTCTGCCCAGGGTCCTTTCTATCAGGAACTTCAGCTGAGTGCCTCAACAGGACTTCCCCGGCTGATTTCCACTGGGCGTTTTCTTTAGATTGGTCTATCTATCTATATACTTAATAAATTCACTCATTTCAAATGAAAAGATGGCTCTATGGGATGCTATTTCTGTTTTGAAAGAGTGACATAAAAAAAAATGAAATGCCCAGCATATGGGTGGTGATCTTAATATGCCACATCACGCCGTATTTGTGACTTAGATTCAACTTTTGTTTTGAGAAATGAAATAATAAAAGAACAGAAGGGGCTGGAGAGATGGCTTAGTGGTTAAGAGCACTGGCTGTTCTCCTGGAGGACCCAGGTTCAATTCCCAGCTCCTGCATGGCAGCTCACAACTGTCTGTAACTCCAAGATTGGACGCCCTCACACAGATATGCAGGCAGGCAAAATATCAATGCACACAAAACAAAAATAAATAAATTAAAAAAAAATAAAGAAGGAAGGAAGAGTAGAGGTTGGAGAAACAGCTCCGCTGCTCTGTGATTCCCAGCACCCATAAGGCTGTAACTACGGTTCCAAGGATCTAGTACCCTCTTCAGGCCCTCCAAGAATATTGAGTACAGCTGGGCATTGGTGGTGCATGCCTTTAGTCCCAGTGCTCTGGAGGCAGAGGCAGTCGGATCTCAGTCGGATCTCTGTGAGTTCAAGACCAGCTTGGTCTACAAGAGCTAGTTCCAGGACAGGCTCCAAAGCTACACAGGGAAACCCTGTTTCAAAAAAACAAACAAAACAAAACACCCAAAGAGAACAAATCTAATAGAGATAACTGATTGGAGAAACTGAGTCATTTACAAAACTCAAGACTGGTTTAAGACTGCTTTATTTTTTGTCTAAGCGTTACGTAAATGTCACGCTGCCGTTCCAGAGAAGTTTCAGCATCTGTCAAGGTCACTCAGAAGGTAAGGGGCAGGACTACTGGGCACAGGAGCTGCTTCTGTGAGGAAGTGGTCCCCAGCACTGAGTATAAGCTCTGTGCTTATGCTCGGAGGATTTGAACAGCTAACCCTGGACCTCTCAGATGGTTCAAGGGAGAAATGGGGCAGAGGCAGTTCTCCCTGCAGGGTTGGGCTACAGAATAGAGTTCATGAAAAAAGATGGGTGCTTGTTCCAGGGGTGATGGTGATGATGATGATTATTATAAACTATTGGCTTTTGAGACAGGATTTCTCGGTGTAGCCCTGGCGGACCTGGAACTCATGGGAGATAAGCCTGCCTCTGCCTCCCAGATGCTGGGATCAAAGGCATGGGCCACCACAGCCTGGTTGGGATTCATATTTTGCATCTGCGCAAATAGTTTCTGAGGAGGATGATTAGAAGTTAGGGCCAAAGATAAGAGAAGTTGGCTACTGTGGGCTGGTGCAACGGCTCAGCAGGTTAAAGTGCCTCCAGTACCAGCCTTTTGATCTAGTTGGGTCCACAGGGGAGGGAGGGAACTATTGCAATTACCCTCTCAGGTCCACACACGTGCTGTGATGCTGTGGTATGCACGTGCGTGCTTAAACTCTCTCTCCCCCCCCTCTCCCTCCCTCTCCCTCTCTCTTTCCCTCTCCCTCTCCCCCTCTCTCCCCCCTCCCCCTCTCCCTCCCTCCCTCTCCCCCTCTTCCCCTCTCTCCCTCCCTCTCCCCCCTCTCCCTCTCTCTCTCTCCCTTTCTCTTCCTCTCTCCCCCCCCTCCCTCTCTCTCTCTTACTACTTTTGCGGTTGGATGAGAGCTGCTAGTTCCTAGTTCGGTTGGCTTCATTGACCCTGGCTTTTCCTTTGCTGTGTGACCCTAGCTCCAGGTCACAGAGACAAGGTTGACTCACAGTCTCTCTCTTCCCCCTGCTCAGCCCCAGGAGGGCCCCACACATCTGGGAAGAGACCCTGCCCTCTTTTTTACTCAAGCCTTGACTCCTGAGGGAGACCTCCAGTTCCTGCCCCGCCGCAGCTGGGGGAGGGTGGTGGCTTCACATTCCAGGCCCTCAAGGCCAGGAGAGGGACTTTGGCTGGATTCACAGCTCCACCCTCAAAGTCCCTCTGCCTGTGAACCTGGGGCCCCATCCTGCCTTCCCAGCTGCACTGAGCTGTTTCCCAGTCCTAGGCGCTGAGGACAGTTTTCCTCCTTCCCTTACTTCTGGCCTCCTCCCTGCTTAGTAAACCCAGGGCCCAGCCCTGCTCCCAACTGGGGTTGAGCCTGGAGGCCTGCCTGAGTTCAGTGTCTGAAAAGGGGGCTCATCCAGGCAGAGGACATTTGGGGCCATTTGAGCCTGGGGTGCAAGTGGTGAAGGGGTCCAGGAATGTGTAAGTGAAAAATGGGTACTCCTGATTGAAACTGATCATCTTCTGCTGTTTACTACTTAGCACCGCCAACCATCCCCTTCAATTCCTCTCCCTTTCCCCTCTGAGAGAGAGAGAGAGGGAGGGAGAGAGAGAGAGAGAGAGAGAGAGAGAGAGAGAGAGGGTGTGTGGGTGTTCATTAGTCAGAATCTCATTCCTGTACCCCAGGCTGGTCTCGAACCTGCTATGTAGCCTATGATGGCCTAGGAACTTCTGTTCTTCTTGCTTCAACTGGGAAAGCTGGGATTGGGGGTGTGGGCTGTCATAGCACATGACAGAGTGCGTTCCAGCCCCCTAGATTCTTCATGTAAGTGACTTTACCTGCTCTTCACTGCACAGTTTTAAGTGGATGATGGGTTTCAATGCTTACAAACAGGAATGCAGAGGTCCTGAGGGAAGTAAAGTGTTATTTAAAAATCACGCGGAATTGACTACATAGGGATCGGGATAGAATAATATTTATTTAACATGTATGAGGTGTTTTGCCTGCATGTGTGTATTGCATGCCTGGCGACGGGAAGGTTAGAAATGGGATGCCCTGGAACTGGAATTACAGGTGATTATGAGGTAGCCACATGGGTGTTGGGAACCAAACCCAGGTCCTCTACAAAAGTAGCAAGGGCCTGGGTTTGGTTCCCGCTGAGCCTTTTCTCCAGCCCCTTGCTGAGGATTTGAACCCCCGCTCAGCCTGCTGTTCCTATAACCGCATGAGGCTGAGGAAGAAAAGTCATTTGAAGGATGAGCAGCCCAAGAGGGCCGAGAGATGGGTGGTCCTGACTCCCCCGCCCCCACCCTGCGCCCAGCTTCCTGCAGAGCTTGGCAGGCTGCTATGGGTCAGGACCCGCAGGGGCCCGGGACGGGGGGGGGGGACACGAAGCCCATGGTGGGGTGGGGGAACGGACACCAAGGGGCGGAGAGCCGCGGAGCCCTCCCGGAACAAAGACTGGGTGGGCGGCGGCTTGAGTCTCCGCACCCCGCCTCCCGCAGCGCCCGCCGAGCCCCGAGCCACAGCGAGGCGGGCGGGCGGGCGGAGAGCATGGCGGGGGCCGGGCCCGCACTGCTACCTCTGCTCCTGCAGCTCGGGAGCCTGGCGCTGGCCGCGCGGGGTGAGTCGGGGCGTCCAGGGGGTGTCCCCACGTCGGGCTCAGCCCAGCAGACCGTCGGACCGGGGCAGACCACTTCCCCAGCCCCGCCTGGGGTGCTCGTCCCCGGCCGGCCTCTGGGCTCTCTCTCCGTACTCCCCGTCGGTGGGCGAGCAGAGTGGGGGAAGGGGCGGCCCGGGAGGGGGGTTCCGGGACTGGGCCAGGTCCTCCCGCCGTCCCTGCCAAGGAGGGCTTAGCAGTGGTGAAGCAGAGGCTGCCCTGGTATCTGGGTGTCTGAAGTTAATTATTTGTGTTGAGAAGGGGAGGGGGGACGGGGGGGGGGAAGAAATGCTCTCTGTGGGAGCTGACTTGGTCCTGTCAGGCTGTAGCCTGTGGGGTTTGCACGAATGGGTGGTCTCTGCAGGAACAGGGTAGGAGGAGACTGAGCGGGAACTCGAATTCAGTTTCTGGGGAGCAACCAGGCTTGTGCTACTTCCCGGAGGACTTTACGAGGGATTCCAGAGGACGCCCTCCCTTCCCGGCTTCCTTGACCCCTCTGCTGTGCCTGCTTAAGCGGGTCTGGAGGAGCTGCCTGGAGTGCCGGGCAGTGGCGAAGCTAGAGGAGGTCGTGCTTGGGTGGAGGGTTCCAGATCCTGAGCCCGCTATCTGTGAGCACCCTTCGTGTGGACAGAAGTAGGGCGGAGGGACCACGTTAAGACAGTGCCAGTTTCTGGGGACAGGATCTCCTGCACCAGGCAGGAGATGAGAACAGGCTGGGGGGCCGATGGTGGTGTAAGGGTAGAGAGGGTAGAGCAGGATGGAAAGCTGAGCCGTGCTGTGGTGACAAGTGACATCTTGCTCTGGGAGACTTGTGCTGCGTGAGAGAGGAGCAAACTGAAATCGGGAGCTCTCTCTTCACCCCAAGATGAGGAGGATGGATGGGGTGGGTTGTGGGACAGGGAAACCGGAAACTGTTAGGGACTGAGAGGGGACAGAAGAATAGCAGAGCCCCGGATTTCTACCTTCGGTAACTGAGGGAGTTAGACTGGAATGCTCCCCCTCTGCCTGCAAGGCCTCGTGTCCCAAATCCTTCAGCCTCCTTCCTTGTCACCTCCTCTGGGAAGCCTCCCCTGTCCTCCTGCTCCATGGATGTCTGTGGGAAGCAGCTTTTGCCTCTACCTTCCTGACTTAGTGGGGCTGAGGTGAGGGGAACGCGGGCCGCCACCCCCGGCCTAAACTCTGAGGGCAATCCTCCTTCCTGGACGTGTTATTTAGAACCAGGGACAGGCTGTCTTCACTGCCTGAGCCTTGCCCCTGCTGGAGGCCTTGCCAGCTCAGTACAGCAAGGTTTGCTTTCCAGGGCCCACCTCATCCAATACGGGGAGGGGGGTGCTTCTGCCACAGGCCTATAAACACTGGGATGGGAGGCACCTATTCCCAAAGCAGTTCCTTTCCTGACAGGGTTAGGTGAGTGGGGACAAGCGTGAGTGTGTGTGTGTGTGTGTGCGCGCGTGCGCACACACACACACACACACACACACACACACACACAAGCTCTCCAGCTATTTAAAGAGCCCTCCTTGCATAAACCCAACTACCCCCACCCCGCCCCACATTGCATTTCAGCCTGTGCTGGTCTCTTGAGGAACATAACATGTCAGAGCTCCATGCTATCTCTGGCCTACAGTGGATGGATGGTCCAGACACCCCAGCTCCATGGCTAGGGATCCCTGTATAGTGAGAGCAGGCTGCAGGGAGGCCTTGGTCTGGATGCTGCTCTGTGTCCCTTGAGGAAATCGATCTAGGCTGCTATGGTGCTCCCAAGGCGCCTGCTATGGTGCTCCTGCCTCCTTTCATTTATCTCTTCCCCCCCCCAACCTACTTCTCTCTGTGCCCACCCTCACACACCATGTCTCTTCACCTGAGTGGTGGGGTAGGTGGACAGGGTGATGCTCAGGGTGATGCTCTTTCTCCTTATGGTTTAGTGGACAGAGCCCAGGAGACCTTGCCAATCCCTGCCTACAGGCCAAGCTGGCTTCGTGTACCCTTTAGGTGGAGAGGTCTCCAGAAAGCGCCCTAGGCTTGCTGACATTCTTGACTATCAGCAGCAGGCACCCTCCCACTCCTTGGTCCCTGCTGAGGCTCCCCAGCAGCAAGGGTGCCCCCTGGAGGAGAGGCTGGAACGGCTGGAAGCCGAGGTGACTGACCTCAGAAAGCAGGTACTGTGGAGGCTGACTGGCAGGGATTCCTTAGGATGGGCTTGCATATTGGGAGAAAGAGAGGGGCTTGGGTTTGGAGGCCTGAGAACAGAAAACTAGGGGGGTTGTTTGCTTCATTTTGTTTGAGACAGGGTCTCTCTGCATAGTCCTGGCTGTCCTGGAACTCATTATGTAGACCATGCTAGCCTTGAACTCACCCCTGCTTGCCCCTGCTGGCTCCTGAGTGGTGGGATTAAAGGCGTGCACCACCAAGACCAGCCTTTGTTGTTAATTTTCTTTTAGGGTTTATTTTTGTTTTGTATGTGTGGGTGTTTGTATGCATGCTTATATGCACAGGATATGTGTGCCTGCTGCTTGTCAAGGCCAGAAGAGGGTATTGGGTCTCTTGGAATTGGAGTTATAGATCACCATGCGGCTGCTGGGAACCAAACCCAGGTCCTCTGCATGAGCAGCCAGTGTTATAACCACTGATCCATCCCCTGCCCTTGTTTTGCTTATTTGTTTATTGTTTTGACAGTGCTTGAGAATGAACCCAGGTCCTCAGACAGGCTAGGTAAGGGCTGTACATATCCCCTGTCCCTAGAACTCCATTGAAAATGCACATAGAGTGGTTCTTATCTGAGTGGTCCTGATACCTCCTCTTTTTGGAATGTTTACATATTCTTTCATGCATTTGGCAAAGAGAATGGGATACTGCCTATACATAAGACACCACTGTGGAAGATTGTGAATGGGTGATGTCTTTAAAAGACAGGCAAAGTGATGCATGCCTGTAGTCCCAGCACCTGAGGCAGACTAGGCTTTATAACAAGTAACCACCAGCCAGGGTTTTATCCCCACTCCAATTACTCTAATTATTAGGGCAGGAAAGGAGCCCCACGTTTCTCTGTTCAAGCAATAGTTTTACTTGAAACGTGCTGACAGAAGCAAACCCACCTCTGCTTAGGGATCCTCATCCTGCCTCAGTTTCTCTATCTCACAATCCTTGAGGAATTATTCATGAAGGAAGCTGAGCCGAGCCTGCCCCTCCACTCCATTTCCCCAGAACAGGGACCTGCAAGGCAGATTAATGCGACTGGAGTCTTGTGGCTGCTGCTCAGCATCTTCCCCCTGCTGGGGGCTGGGACACACCTGTCCTGAAGGGGCTCGCTGGGAGCCTGATGCCTGCACGGCCTGTGTGTGCCGCGATGGGACTGTACACTGTGGCCCCCAGCCCAGTCTGTCCCACTGCCAAGGTCAGTGTCACCCCATCCCCACTGCAGATATTTGGGGGCCTAAAGAAGGCACTAGGGCCCCAAATGGCATTACTGTCTCCACCTCAGGCTGCATCCACAATGGCCGGTCTTATGGTCATGGGGAGACCTTCTCCCCAGATGCCTGCACCACCTGCCGCTGTCTGGTGAGTGCTTGAGACCCACCTGGATACCCAAGACCTGTCACTGTGTGCTGCCTGCCTCTGTCACTGTGTCCTGTCTGCCTCTCTAGCTGCCTGTCGCTGACATCCTGTGCCGGTTGTGTTATGGAGTCTATCTGCCCAGACTTTCATCCGTGACCTTGGGATTCCAACTAGCTTTACTTTCTGGAGCTCAATCTGCACATACTTTCTGGGTCCCCATAGCTTCTTGGTGGAATTTCACTAGAAAGAGGAATGCTTAAGAGCCCTCTGTGTGGGCTGGAGAGATGGCTCAGAGGTTAAGAGCATTGGCTGCTCTTCCAGAGGTCCTGAGTTCAATTCCCGCAACCTCATGGTGACTCACAACCATCAGTAACCTCTTCTGGCATGTAGGTATACATGCAGACACAACACTGATACCCCCCAAAAATACATAAATTAAAAGGAAAAAAGTAAAACAAAGCCACAGAGGTGGGATGAGACATAGGGCAGTAGTCAGCCTAGGAAGGCCAGAAGAGCCAGGATGCTGCTGCTTGTGCAGTTTGGATTTCCTTCAGTGGCTGTGGGATACCACGAGATTCACAGAGCCAAGGAAGAGTATTAGGAATATCCCCCTGGTATGGGATGGATGCAAAGACCAGCTGGGAGGCTGCTACAGCCTAGGCACAGGGCCCGAGAGGGCAGTGGGCTGCAGGCAGGAGCTGTTTCTACAGACAGGCAGGGGCTGGTGGCTTCTTAGATCCCATGGAATAACAGAGGCCATGGAATAACAGAGGTCAGACAGGAAGCTAGGAGGCAGGGCGCTTGAGGAGAGCTAGGAGGAGGGAAGATGGTGGCTCTAAGGAATTTTGGTTGTTTTGAGACAGAGTCTCACTATGTAGCCCTGGCTCGCCTGGAACTCACTATGCAGAGGCTGACCTCAAAGTCACAGGGATCCTCCTGCCTCTGCTCCCAAATTCATTGTTTCTTCTTTAGTTAGTCTCTGCAAAATCTGAATTTCAAATAACACATGAATATATATATTCATGTCTATATATGAATATATAGCTATAGATACACACACATATATATATTTAAAGATTTATTTATATGTTGTGTATGTAGTGTTCTGTCTGCATGTCTGCCTGCGGGCCAGCAGATCTCATTACAGATGGTTGTGAGCCACCATGTAGTTGCTGGGAATTGAACTCAGGACCTCTGGAAGAGCAGCCAGTGCTCTTAACCACTGAGCCATCTCTCCAGCCCCATATATATACGTATATAATAAAACATTTGGGACATTCTGTTTGCTCTTGCTTTTTGTTTGTTGGTTTTGTTTTGTCTTTAGACTGTTTCATGTTGCTGAGGCTGGCTTGGAGCTCATTCTATACTCCAAGTGAGTCTTGAACTTTTGACCCTCCTGCCTCAGCCTCCAAAGTACCTGGAATGAGAGGCCTGCATCACCGGACCAGGCCGGGACATACTGAAAAATGTATAGTGTTACTTATCTGGAGTTCCTTTGTAACTGAGGGCCCTGTACTTTGTCTGGTGTCCTACCGGAAGAGGCATCCCAGTTGGTGGTCAGTTAGGAGGGACAAGGACTCCAGCCAGCCCTTGGATAGAGACCAAGACTGAAGTCCTAGGAGTTGATGGGTTTTAAAAGGACTCTGGGGCTAGCAATATAGCTCAGTGGCAGAGTACTTGATGCACACACATGAGTCCAGCATTTTTCTTCTCATGCCCCAAACTGTATAATTCAAAGACACAAACACACAGAGAGAACTTTCAGGGGTATGGTGCCTCAGAGCCACCGCTACTCTATATGACAAGAGCAAGCCTTTGATGGTTGTGTTCCATGTGGCATGGGGGTGGAGGGTGTGGGCTCAGCTTTGTAGACACTTTCCTCCCGCCTGTTATAAATAAAGTCAGCACACTGTGTCAGAGTGAGACCCCTGATTGCCACTTGCTGGAAAGATGAAGGAAATACAAAAACAGGCCGTCCAGCTGTTTGATGTGGTCCCAGGCACCTGGGTCTCTTACTTAGGGACCCAGCCTTGGTTTTGAAGGCTGCTCTGGGGGCACAGGGTGTTGACAGGTGGCACCCGGAGACCTAAATCAGGTAAGAGAATCAGAGTATAGCCACTGCTCATGTCCCGCTGCTCCGCATTACCCGAGGCTTGGCCATGCCTCTGGCACTCTGGTCTGAAGCCTGGCAGGCCTTTGAGGCGTGCAGCGTACCCCAGCATGGGCAGTGCAGAGAGCTCAAGGGAGGACTCGGTGTCTGCCCTGCAGGCAGGAGCTGCGCAGTGCCAAGGGCCCTCGTGCTCCAAGCTCAGCTGCCTGGAGACCCTCATCCCGCCTGGGGAATGCTGTCCCATCTGCCGTCCAGGTGACACCATGTCCTCACCCACGTATCCCCTCAGCCTCAGTGGGTCCGCACCTATTGGGGCCATGCGTTCCCTTGGGTATTGTCCCCCTACCCTGCTCTCTGGTGACCCTTGTCACCCTGACAACCTTCCAGGCTGTGAGTATGAAGGGCAGCTCCACGAGGAAGGGGCCAGCTTCTTGTCCAGTTCCAACCCATGCCTGCAGTGCTCTTGCCAGGTGAGTGGCTGCCCCTCCCACCCACGCCTGTATCCTTGGACCATCGCTGTCCCACCCGGCCATGTCCATCACTGTTAGCCCCGTTCGTTCGTACGTGCCTCCTGAGCCCGGTGCTGTTGAGCTTCTCCGTCTGGATGGGAGATGTCATTCTGTAAATATGTTTCTCTTATTGGTTAATGAATAAAGCGCTGTTGACAAATAGGAAAGCAAGATAGGCGGGACCAGGAGGCAAGGAGGATTCTGGGAGATGTAGTAGAGAAGAATCAAGATGTAGGGGCGTGAGGGAAGAGGTCCGGGCCCTCTCTCTGGTAAGCCAAGACCATATGGAAACAGATTGATAGAAATGGGTTAATATTTAAACAGAGCTAGCCAATAAGAAACGCTAGTAACAGGCCAACAGCTTTATAACTAATATAGTCTCTGTGTGTTATTTGGGGCTGATGCAGCTCTGTGACCAGGCTGGCGGGGAAAGTGCTCATAATACCCTCCATCCCTGCTGGACACCTGACCGTGTTGAACCTGCTGGAAGTCACACCGGAGTGTCATAGACATTGTCCATTGTAGGGGAGCCTGGTTCGATGCGTACCTGTGAAATGCCTGCCAAGTCCCTGCCCTGAGCCAGTCCTGAAGCCTGGACACTGCTGCCCAGCCTGCCAAGGTGAGGACCCACGACCCTTTCATTTATTCATGTGTTTTTAAAATATGTATGAGTGTTTTCCCCTCATGTACATCTATGCACCAGTGGCGGGGGGGATCGAACTCAGGTCCTCCGAAAGAGAAATCAGTGCTCTCAAACACTGAGCTATCTATCCAGTCCCTGTGACTCTTTCTTTGTAGAGTCCCTAGCAGGCTGTCACCCTGTTTCTTGACTCCAGAGCCCTTCCTCCTAGACTGATGTTTGATTAGTGGGTAAGCAATGTCGAGTCAATCACATTCTGGAACTACAGCACCCGAGTTCAAAGTTTTCCATTGTCTCTTAGTGGTCACGTGATTCTAAGTCATTGTTTCTCCATTTGTTTCCCATTTGTAAGGTGCACGTGATGTACCTTCTAGTTTTGTATAATAAATGACCATTGTCTGCTTTGGGCACTCAGACACAAAATCCTTCCGGGGGGTGGGGGGGATTGCCACTAGAGGGTGACCCTGAGTCACACCAACCCTATAAACTAGTGTTACAGAGACAGGAGAGGAAGCAGGGACCAGGACTAGATGAACTTAAGGAGACCAAGTGCATCTGGCCACAGCAGGGGAGGGGATCCTCGCTGGAGGGTGTGCAGTGCTATCCAGGCACAGAAGAGCAGGCTGAGGAGCAGCAATAAGGACCTCACTCTGCCTGGGGCATTGGGAGTCCCTGAGAATCTAGACCAGAGGTTTTCAACAAGTGGGTCACAATCCCATTGGCAAAGTTCTGTCTCCAAAAATATTTACATTATGACTTACAATAGTAGCAAAATTACAGTTATTAAGTAGAAACGAAAATAATGTTGTGGTTGGGGGTATTAAAGCATTAGAGCATGTCAGGATTAGGAAGGCTGAGACAGAGGTAGAAGGAGAGTTCGGCAAGATGGGGCCCAGGAAGATTCCCATATAGGCTGTTCTCTGTCCCCAGGCTGCACAGAAGGTAACTCTCACAGGGACCACGGCCAAGAATGGACCACTCCCGGAGACCCGTGCCGCATCTGCCAGTGCCTGGTGAGTCCTGGGGCTGCGCTTGGACTGTCCCTCATCCTGCCTTGCCATCCGGCCTGCCCACTGGATTCCTGATTTCATCCCATGGGCTACATCTGTGGACACTGAAAAGAGACAGCTATGGAGATGATTTTATCGTGGGGCCTGTGAGCATTCGATCTGGTGGGCTTGCCTGTTTGCCTGCTCTATCTGGTCATTTTGGCTCAAGAAGTTCATGGATGGGTGGAGAGCTAATAGAGCAGGGCACACTGGGTGATCAGAGCTCCAAAGAGAGAGGAATACAGTTGTACTTGTAATATTCAAGCCCTTAAGATGTGGTTGGCCAGAACTGCTATGGGCAAGGCGTTGTGGCCGATGCCTTTAAACTCAGCACTTAGGAGGCAGAGACAGGAAAGTCATGAATTTGAGGTTAGCCTGGACTACCTAGTAAGACTGACTGGGAGTAGTTATGCCTGCTGGTGATCCTAATTCTTAGGAGGCTGAAGCAGGAAGATAGTGAATATGTGGACAGCATAGGTTACATGGTGAGACCTTGTCACAACTATTATCCCTGAAAACAAACCCAACCAAACAACCAACCAACAAAAAATCCACAAAAAATGAAGAGAGGGACAGCAGGATAAAAAGGAATGCAAAATATCTCACTAATACGCTACGCTGTTGATTACATGTTGAAATAATACTTCACATGTGGTAAGTAAATGGATTACAATATAAATTTAATCTTCTCTGTTTCCATTTCCGTTTCAAAAGTTGACCTTGTAAAAAGATTTACGTGGCTTATGTGGCTTGTGTTACCTTGTTCTTTGCTTCAGCAGCTTGGAACTAAAACTTCATGCATGGGGTGCCGTTCACCTAGGCCTTGAAGAGTGGGTGAGGAGAGGAAGTAGGGAAAGATTTCCTGGGAATAGGCAAAGCACAAAGTTGGAGCAAGTTGGAACTACCAGCTTCCTGAAGTCGATACCCAGCTGTATTTCATTTCAACTCACAAGCCATGAGCACTGGACTACCATTACTTACTTTTTTTTTTCAGAATCACATACAGCTAGGTAGCTTGCTAGGTTGTATGTTTGTACTAGCTTCCTAAGGCTTCTGTAACTGAGGGCTACACACTAAAACAACACAAATATCCTCCATGGTTCTGGAGGCCAGAGGTCCAAGACCAAGGTGTGGCAGGTTTGGTTTGCTTAGATGGCTGTGAAAGGGAATTTTTTGGTGCCTTTCCTGGCTTCTCATCATTGTTACCATTCTTTGGCTTCTATAGCATCCAAATATATTTTTTAAGATTTTATTTTTCATTTATTTAAAAACATTTTTTGAGACAGTCTCACTATATAGACCAGACAGGCCTTGAACTCACAGACATCTATCTGCCTCTGCCTCTCAAGTGCTGCGGTTAAAGGCTTGCATCACTACAGCTGGCCTGGTTTTTGTTTTGTTTTGCTTTGTTTCTTAAGATTATTTATTATGTATACAGTGTCCTGCCTGCATCTATGCAGGGCACCAGATCTCATTACAGGTGGTTGTGAGCCACCATATGGTTGCTAGGAATTGAACTCAGGACCTCTGGGAGAGCAACTAGTCCTCTTAACTGCTGAGCCATCTCTCCAGCCCCTCTGTTATATATTTATTTATTTAACTATGTGAGTACACTTGTGTCTAAGTGTGGGTTTGTGCATGTGAGTGCAGGTCCCAGGGAGACCATCCACAACAGATCCTTTGGAGCTGCAATCCCAGATGGCTGGGGCTGCCTGCTTCCTCTACAGTAGCAGTAAGCACTCTTAACTGCTGAGCCAGCTCTCAGCCTCAGCATCCAAATCTGGTTTCATCTTCATCTTGTGGCATTCTCCCTATGTGTGAGTCTGAGTCCCCTTTATATAGAGATGCTAAGTCATAGTGGGTTAGGGATACAACATGCTCCAGTAATACCTCACTAACTGACTACATCTTCACCAACTCTGTTTCCAGAGGAGACCGTATTTGAGGCTCCAGGGGCAATCTCTTCGGCATACTAATGTGGCAGAGAGGGGTGGGGATGCATTTCATCCCACAGGGCCATCTGGTGAGCTGATGGCTTGGAGTCTGGCTTGGATTCTAATGCCATTTCTGTTTCTGGGCTGAACCCTGGAGGTTTCTTCTTTGCCTTTCCTTGCCAGGAGGGCCACATCCAGTGCCACCAGAGAGAGTGTGCTAGCCTGTGTCCATACCCTGCCAGGCCCCTTCCGGGCACATGCTGCCCAGTGTGTGATGGTGAGTTGGGAGTGGAACAGAGGGCCTAGAGAGGCCGGAAGTGCTGATGTCTGGCCCAGCACGAGTTATCTGAGCTCCGTTTCCCAACAGGATGTTTCCTAAATGGGCGGGAGCACAGCAGCGGGGAACCGGTGGGCTCCCAGGACCCCTGTTCCAGCTGCCGCTGTGCTGTAAGTATGGCTGTCTGGCAGGGAGGGCCTGGCTTCAGGGTCTGTTCCCTGCTGACTGGGCCCTGTTGGCAGAATGGGAGTGTCCAGTGTGAGCCTCTGCCCTGCCCACCTGCACCCTGCAGATACCCGGGCAGGATTCCTGGGCAGTGCTGCCCTGTCTGTGATGGTGAGTGGCAAGGGGCAGGCACCAGCTAGGAACAACAGGCTCTGGATGGTGGTGAGCTTTGCTTCCCTTGTGCCCATGTTCCTTTCCCCCAGCTAAGTCCTCACCTCTCGGCGGTGTGTGTGGTGAGATGCAGGCAGGACCTCCTAGAGGACATGCCTAGGTCATCTTCCTCAAGATGGGGATACTATGCCTTGGAGTGGCATGATGCTTCCTGCTCAGCCACTAGTCCTGTCCCCCAGGCCCCTGTCCTCCTGTCCAGGCTGTCAATACCAGGGACATGAATATCAGAGCCAGGAGACCTTCACCCTCCAAGAGAATGGCCACTGCCTTCGGTGCTCCTGCCAGGTGAGCAGGCCTACCTTTGGCCCAGTCCTGTGTCACTCTTTAAAGACCTCTCACTTGGCGCTCTTCCTAGGCTGGTGAAGTATCCTGTGAAGAACAGGGCTGCCCGGTTGCCCCCTGTACGCGGTCTGCCTCTGGCCCGAAGCTCTGTTCAGGTGAGTGCGTGTGTGTGTGTGTGTGTGTGTGTGTGTGTGTGTGTGTGTGTGTGAGTGTGTGTGTGCGCGCGTGCATGTGCGCGTGTGTGTGCTGGGTAACTGCCGAGGGCACTACATAGAGCGGGGTTCAGGGCAGAGCTGTAACCCAATAAGGAGGGTCTGTCTACTAAGCATCTCAGAGTTTGTTCAGAGGCAATGGTGGGGGTGCAAACCAGGGCCCCCAGGCTGGGAAGGACAAGGATGGATGAAGATATTGAGGTTGCCATGGTGACAGACCCCTCCCCCTCGCTGTAGCCTGTGTGCTCAATGGTGAGGAGTTTGCTGAGGGGACCCAGTGGGAGCCAGATGGGCAGCCTTGTACCATCTGTTCCTGCCAAGATGGAATGCCCGTGTGCAGCGCTGCGCTTTGCTCCCCAGCACCCTGCCAACACCCTACCCAGCCCCCTGGTGAGTGTCCCGCCAGATCTCGTCTTTCCTCTGTGGCCCTGACCACCGCACCCTGACCAGCCTGTGCCACATAGGTGCCTGCTGCCCCCGCTGTGAGAGCTGCACTTACCATGGCCTAGTGTACAACAATGGGCAGAACTTCACAGATGTGGACAGCCCTTGTCATAGCTGCCGCTGTGAGGTACGTCCCTGGGCTAAAAGCTGCCCTTCAGAGCCCCTCCTGGACGCTCTCCCACTACCCCTTCCCTGATCCCAGGATGGGACTGTGAGATGCTCATTGGTCAGCTGTCCTACCACAACCTGTGCCAAGCCCCAGAGTGGACCAGGCCAGTGTTGCCCCAAGTGCCCAGGTATGTGTTTATTGTGTCTGATTGGCCTGGGGGGCCCAGACTCTGTTGCCACTCAGCCAGGTGGGATCAATGGTTATCTCCCAAAGCAATGGCTTTCAGAACTGTTTTTGGCCTTATACAACTAAGAGCTCTATGGAACTGGCCAGGGCGTGGGCGGGGAGAAAGATCAAGACTTGTTACCTTTTTGTGTTACCAGACCACCTTTCTCTGTGATCCTGCATTTCCTCTCAGATGCACCCACTTATGCACCTATGTAACACGGATGCATGGAGCATGGTCCCTGCATGCACAGATATGTGTCCTAGGCACATGCTTATGTAGGATCTTCTCAGTGCCCTCAGAGACACACATCCATCTCCATCTCCAAGTAACTCAAGGGACTCAAACTTTTCACCCCTGTGTGTGTGTGTGTGTGTGTGTGAGAGAGAGAGAGAGAGAGAGAGAGAGAGAGAGAGAGAGAGAGAGAGAGAGAGAGAGAGAGAGAGAGAGATACATTGTTACCCATGGCCAGCCCCCTTTCCTCCTCTCCCTTATTGGAGACAGCCTCGAAGCTGTCTCCTCTGGGTTATTCTGTTGCCTCTGGGCTCTGGGAGCTTTGGAGAGGCAGGCAGGTGGCCTCCAGCACTGTCAGCCTCTGCTGGAACTCCTGTCCACCGTCTGCTGCCCAGACTGCGTCTTGGAGACACAAGTGTTTGTGGATGGAGAGCGGTTCCCTCATCCGAGAGACCCCTGCCAGGAGTGCCATTGTCAGGAAGGCCAAGCTCACTGCCAGCCTCGGGCCTGCCCCAGCGCCCTCTGTGGTCACCCTCTGCCCAGCGCCTGCTGCAGGACAGACTGCAAAGGTGAGGTGGCCGGGCTGGGCTGGGGTGCACATGGAGAAGTCCCCCAGGTCCTTGCCCCTGGGGACGGGCGGCCCATAGCTGCTCCCTCTTCAGGCTGTGCCTTTGGCGGGAAAGAGTACCCTAACGGAGCGGACTTCCCTCACCCCACTGACCCGTGCCGCGCGTGTCGCTGTCTGGTGAGTGTGTGATCGTAGGAAAGGGGAGGTGCATAAGGGTGGGGACCCCTTCGCACTAACCCGACTTGACTCCATCTGTCTGTCCATCCTCAGAGCGGCAACGTACAGTGCCTGGCGCGTCGCTGCCCTCCGCCCTCCTGTCCCGAGCCAGTTCTGCCTCCGGGGGAGTGCTGCCCGCGGTGCAGGGGTAGGCACCGCTCCCTGGGCCGCCCCTCCCAGCGGCTCTTCCCGCCCCTCCTGCCCTGACGCACTCTTTCCGCAGATGCCCTTCCTGGTTGCCCACAGTCAGGGGGTGCGGTCCCCGCCCGCCACCAGGAACACTTTTCCCCACCGGGTGATCCCTGCAGCCGCTGCCTCTGTCTGGACGGCTCGGTGTCCTGTCAGCGACTGCCCTGCCCGCCCGCGCCCTGCGCCCATCCGCGCCGGGGCCCCTGCTGCCCCTCCTGCGATGGTACCTCCTCTGTGGCACCCTTCGAGATCCGGGTGGCACCCCACCCCTCTTTGCCCTTCGCTACCCCTCTCCCAGCCTTGATGCCCCTGCTCCCCTCTTGTGCCTTCCTGGGGGTCACTCTTACCTGGGGGCTTTAGTGAAAATGTAAGGAACAAGGGGCAGGGTCTGGCCACCAGCCACCACGGTCCCCAGTCTCTGCCCTTCCCTCTAGGCTGCCTGTTTCAGGGGAAGGAGTTTGCCAATGGGGAGCGCTTCCCATCTCCTAGTATCGCGTGCCTCATGTGCCTCTGCTGGGAGGGCAGCGTCAACTGCGAGCCCAAGGCTTGTGCCCCTGCCCAGTGTCCCTTCCCCAGCACGGAAGACTGCTGCCCCACCTGCGATAGTGAGTTGGGGATGAGGGGTGTGGGCGTTGGGAGGTGGTGCTGATGAGAGAGCTGAGCTAGCCTCCTCTTCACTGCCCCAAGCAGATCAAAATAGTAAAATTTTTTTTTAATATAAAAAGAGAAAGGGGGCAGTGGTGGTGCATACCTTTAGTTCCAGCACCCTGGAGGCAGAGGTGGATCTCTGAGTTCGAGGCCAGCCTGGTCTACATAGAGACTGCTAGGACAGCCTGGGCTACACAGAGAAACCTCATCTTGAAAAACAACAAACAAACAACAACAAAGTCCTCTATGGATGCCTGCATTTTCTCCTATCCTTGAAACAATTTAGGAGTGTGAACTTGAGCAGATTACCAGATCCCATTGGGTCTGTAAAAAAAGCAAAAACAAAAAATAGTTCTTCCCTCCTAATCACTCTTGTATTATCTAAACAATCTTTATTTTTTGAGACAGGGTCTCATGTAGCCCATGTTGGCCTCCAATTTGCTCTGTCACTGGGGATTACCTTTGCCCTCTCTTCCTTCCTCAATCGCCCAAATGCCGGGGTTACAGGCTCTGATCAGCAAACCCAATTTACTTTAGCATCTTCTACCAAATGTAATTCTATTTATTTAGAGCTTTTCTTCAAATGAACATACTAGTTCAATTTACGTAGCAGGAAGTCAGAGGACAACTGTCAGGGATCAGTTCTCTTTCTGCCAGTTCCCAGGGACTGACCTCAAATTGTCAGGCATGATGGCAAGAGGCTTTACCCACTGAGCCATCTCACCAGCCTCCTGGGTAGATTAAATTAAAAATTAGACTTGTCACAAATAGGAGATTAAAAAGAATACAATTAAAGCACAATACTGTGGAATTCTACCTGTGTGGTGGTCCATGCCTGTAACCCTAGGACTGAGGTGGTCTAGACAGCAAGATCAGGAGTTCAAGGCTAACCTCAGGAATATGAGATCCTGTTTCAAAAAAAATCTATCTATGCATACATATATATGTCATATATGTCTGTGTATTAAATTCTAAACTTTTAACTCTGGGTGTATGAGTCTACTTTATATGTATGGGTGTGTAAAAGGCCAAGCACTATCATACTTGGCCTTTTTTTTTTTTTTTAAGACAAGGTCTATTTATTTACTTTAGACTGTGTGTATAAATGTTTTGCCTGCATGTATGTCTGTGTACCATGTGTGTCTAATGGCCTCAGAAGTCAGAAGAGGGCATCGGATGCTCTGGAGCTGGAGATGATCTCCAGCCACCACATAGGTGCTGGGAATTGAATCCCGGTCCCCTGCAACAAGCGCTCTTAACTGCTGAGTCACCCCCCTTTTTAAGGGATGCAAGCAAGATGTCATAAAGGAGTGCAGGGCAGAGTGTCCCCCCTTCTTAATCAACCTGAGTTTGACCGAGTATTGGAAAGGGGCTACCTTGACCCTACACCACTGCATCCTCATCTGTAGTCTGGTCCCTTCTAGCAGTGGCCTGATGAGCCTCTGGCCTCCTGCCAGGTCAGGCTCAGGGGCTGACTGCTTTCCTCTCCCTTTTGTGTCTTCCTCTTCGGTTCCCCTCTCTGATAGGCTGTGAGTATCTGGGGGTATCCTACCTGAGCAGCCAGGAGTTTCCAGATCCCAGGGAACCCTGCAGCCTGTGCACCTGCCTTGGGGGCTTTGTGACTTGCACCCATCAGCCCTGTGAGCCTCCAGCCTGCAGCCACCCACGCATCGTCCCTGGGCACTGCTGTCCAACCTGCCAGGGTTAGGAGCCACTTGCCTCACCCCGTACCCCTGCTGGTACCCCCTGGGCACCCCGTACCCCTGCTGGTACTCCCTGGGGCACCCCGTACCCCTGCTGGTACCCCCTGGGCACCCCGTACCCCTGCTGGTACTCCCTGGGGCACCCCGTACCCCTGCTGGTACCCCCTGGGCACCCCGTACCCCTGCTGGTACCCCCTGGGGCACCCCGTACCCCTGCTGGTACTCCCTGGGGCACCCCGTACCCCTGCTGGTACTCCCTGGGGCACCCCGTACCCCTGCTGGTACTCCCTGGGGCACCCCGTACCCCTGCTGGTACCCCCTGGGGCACCCCATACCCCTGCTGGTACTCCCTGGGGCACCCCCCCTGCGTACCCCTGCTGGTACTCCCTGGGGCACCCCCGGTCCCCTGCTGGTACTCCCTGGGGCACCCCGCCCCTGCTGGTACTCCCGCCCCCTCGCTGGTCCCCTGCGGCACCCCCCTGCTGGTACTCCCTGGGCACCCCGTACCCCTGCTGGTACTCCCCTGGGGCACCCCCTGCACCCCTGCTGGTACTCCCTGGGGCACCCCTACCCCTGCTGGTACTCCCTGCACACCCCCCTGCTGGTACTCCCTGGGGCACCCCGTACCCCTGCTGGTACTCCCTGGGGCACCCCGCACCCCTGCTGGTACTCCCCCCCCCCCCGGGCCCCGCCCCCTGCCCCCCCGGCCCCCCCCCGCCCCCCGGCGCCCCCCCCCCCCTGGGTACTCCCTGGGGCTGGGCACCAGTGGGCAGGAGGTTTGTATACAGTTGGATCCCTGAGATAGACGCACAGAGATTTCTCTTACCCCCAGAATCCCCACATGCATGATCTGCCCTCTTCTCTGTCCCCGTTGTCACCTCACCAATTGGCCCTTTGTGTTCTCTACTTTCCTACTCTTAAATTGTCTTGCTGCCTTCTTCAAATGTCACCCTCTTGAAAACTGTCCAATGGTTCCCATTGCCCCGAGTCACCAACCGGGATGGGCAGCTTCTCCAGCCCACCCCCTCTGAGCCAGGCTACCTGGTCACATATCCAGCCTGCCCAAGCCACCCTGTCCTCTCCTGTGCAGGCAAGACGTTCTCCTGTCTTCCATCTCCACAGCCACTGTCTCCCAGCCTCTCCTTGCATGCAAATCTCTGTGCAAAATCCTGTAGCCCTGACGATAGCCTCCTTCCCGCCCTTGCCCTGCCCTGCCCTGCCCTGCCCTGCCCTGCCCTGCCCTGCCCTGCCCTGCCCTGCCTTTTTATGTGTGTTCACGCATGTGGCCGGGAGGGCTCTGTTGACAGTGGCCCTCTGTTACATTCCCCACTCTGCCAGGATGCCTGTACCATGGGATCACTGCTGCCCTCGGAGAGACCCTTCCGGATCCTCTTGACCCCACCTGCTCCCTATGCACCTGCCAGGTGAGGCGAATCTTTGGGATCTTGGCATCTTCTCATCCCTTATGCTCCTCTCTGGCCTGGAAGGAGTTTTCTGCACCTAGTAAACATATTTTACTTGTGACATCTGATGAGTCAGGCCTCTCTGGCCAGGGAAGAGAGTCTCGGGCTTGATAAGATCAGTAATCCAAGCTGGTAGTACAGCCTGATTGGAAGGTAACTTGGAAGTCCAAGTAACAGTGTGATCTCTACTCCCAGGAAGGTTCTATGCGCTGTCAGAAGAAACCATGTCCTCCGGCTCTCTGCTCACACCCCTCTCCAGGCCCCTGCTTGTGCCCTGTGTGTCGAAGTGAGCATAGTTGGCCACTGCCTTTCTGTGTGCCTGGCACCTGTGCCCTCCTCCTCCTCCCCTCTCTTTCTGCCGGGTCTGAGGTAGGGCAGGGTGGCACCAACCGCCCCCACAGAAAGTGTGTCTCCCATAGGCTGCCTCTCTCAGGGTCAGGAGCACCAAGACGGGGAGGAGTTTGAGGGGCCGGAGGGCAGCTGTGAGCGCTGCCGCTGTTGGGTATGTAAAAGCAAGGCTGAGCAAGGTCGGTCCATGCTTCTGGGTCCAAGCCCCCATGGCAAGCCCCTGACCCTGCATCTCCTGCCTGCAGGCTGGCCAGGTCAGCTGTATGCGGCTTCAGTGTCCTCCCCTGCCCTGCTTGCTTCAGGTCACAGAGCCAGGGAGCTGCTGTCCTCGATGCACAGGTAACCCCAGCCTTGTACCCATACCCTATGACCTTCCCTTTACCCCCCCCCCCCAGTTCTTGGATGTCCCCTTAATCCACAGTCACCCTTTCCTCTCCCAGATCAGCACATCCTTAGTGGGCCAGCTAGTTCCTCTCAATGCCGTCTCCCTCCTTATTCAGTAGTAATATAGTCCTGATTAATAACACTTATTAGAACTGTACATACAGCACACCAGACCCCCCTCCCTCTCTCTGTGTCTTACACACACACACATACACACACACACACCTCATTTTAAGAGCATAGCTATTTTACCTAGATATGATGCCTTCGCTCCCATTTTTTATTATCTTTATTCATTATTTGGGCTGGGAAACACATCACAGCCTGCATGTGGAGATCAGAGGACAACTTATAGGAGTCCCTTTTCTCCCTTTACCATGTGGGTCCCAGGGACCCAACTCAGGTTGTCCAGCTTGGTGGCAAGTGCATTTCCTGGCTAAGCCATCTCCCTGGTCCCCTGCCTCCCATTTTTTAAGAATGAGAAAAGGAGGCACAAGAGGTAACCTAATTTTCCTGGCCACTCAGCTTGCAGGTGGCAAGGTCAAGATGTACATTCTGGCCTCTGGCCCGAGAACCTCAGCCTTTCTCAGCCAGTCTGCGGCCTTTTACCCTACCCTGTGTAGCTATCCCCAGAACCGCCTCAGCAACTCTCACCTTGTAAACAAGACAGGACAGATATAATCCCCAGTGGATACAGGAGGAAATTGGCTTGGAGAGTTGCCTGGGGCACATGGGTAGTAAAAGGGCGAGTCATTCCATGTGCATCTATTACATGCCTGCTGCATACCAGCGCTGTACCATGGGTGTCCATCAACAGCGCCTGCTACTTGCAACTTGATCAACAAGAAAATGGCTCCCCTATAGCCCCCACAGACATGAGTTCTGCCCTGGCCATATCCATGCCACACTCCTGCCATATCCATGCCACACCCCCATCCTCATCCTGCTGTCCCCATGCCTTGGTGACCACAGGAGGGATGGGGAGGGGTGCGGTCGTCCAGATCTTGGACTCAAGGCTTATTCCTGCCTGCCTGGGACACAGGCTGCCTGGCTCACGGAGAGGAGCATCCTGAAGGTAGTAGCTGGGTGCCTGCCAACAGCCCCTGCTCCACCTGTGTGTGTCACAAGGGCGTCATCACCTGTGCCCAAGTCCAGTGTGTCACTGCCTGCATCCAGCCCCAGCAGGAGCCCAGTGCCTGCTGTCCCCCATGCTCTGGTACTTGGAACCTGGAGTGGGAGGGAGCCCTGGGTAGGGGGTGCTGGGCTGGGTGGCAGGGATGGGTGTGAGGGGGCTCCAGGAGAAGAAGCCGACATTCCTGTAGCCCCAGGGTGGGGGACAGGAGCTGGAGGGGGGAGGAGCCCTCCACCTGGCGATGCTGCCAGCCTGAAGCTTCCTCCACTCGCCTCCCTCTGTTCCCCTCTGTTCGCGCCTCCCCTCAAGGCTGTGAGCATGAGGGCCGGAAGTATGAGCCCGGGGAGAGCTTCCAGCCTGGGGCAGATGCCTGTGAGGTGTGCACCTGTGAGGTAGGAGATGGCTGGGTCTGGGGCTGGCCACCTCATGGAGCAGGACCATGGGGATCAGACAGAGTGTGTCTCTGGGTCCAGAACTGAGTGAGGCTGAGCTTGGTCAGTGGAGCTAGGTCTGGATTTAGACAGGGCGCGAGGTCCGAATCAGGAGGCCATTGATGCCCCCCACCCCGCTCTTTGGGGTGTTGTTGTTGTTCAGGAGTAGTGAGCAGCCCACATGGAGAGTGTTTGCATTCTGTTTTAAAAGCACCGGTGAGGGCTGGGCATGTAGTTCCATTGGTAAAGTGCTTGCCTGGGTTCCATCCTAAGTACCACACAAACAAGGTACACTGTGGCACATGTCCTATAATCCTAGCACCGGGGAGGTAGCGGCAGGAGGACCAGAAATTCAAAGCCAGTGCTGGCTACATATCAAGTTTGAGGCCAGCCTGGGCTACCTTAGACTCACTCTATCCTCATAAACAGAAGGGATGCCGATTGGTGTTCGGCGAGGAGCCAGGCAGTGGGGGTGGGGAGGACGGTATGAACAGTGCCAAGGGGTTTAAGGTCACACGATGGTTCAAGCCCCAGTAAATTTAAAAAGTAAGGGGTGTCATCTCCGGATTAAGAGCAAGGCGACATGCTCACAGTCCCTGAAGACAAGGGTGCAGCGGATAGGGGGACCCTGGTGCCCAGAAGCAGCTCAGCTTCACCCATTCTTGTTGTAGCTGCAACCTGAGAAGTCTCCGAGCCTTCACTGCCGCCGGCGGCAGTGCCCCATTCTGGTGGGATGCCCACCAAGCCAGCTTCTACCTCCTGGGCCCCAGGGCTGCTGTCCTACTTGTGCGCGTGAGTCCTAGGGTACAGGATAGATAAACATCCTGCCCAGCAGGTGGCACTGCAGGCTAGCAGGTTTCTACAATAGAGCCATTAAATGGCTCAGCAGCAGGGTTAAGGAGAGCCATTCTCTTTTTCTTCCTTTCTTCCTCCCTTCCTCCCTCCCTCCCTCCCTCCATCCCTCCCTCCCTCCCTTCCTTCCTTCCTTTCTTTCTTTTGGAGGGAGGGTGTTTCGAGACAGGTTTGCCTGTGTAGCTTTGAAGCCTGTCCTGGAACTAGCTCTTGTAGACCAGGCTGGCCTCAAACTCACAGAGATCCTCCTGCCTCTGCCTCCCAAGTGCTGGGACTAAAGGCATGCACCACCACTGCCCAGCCTGTTTCTTTTCTTTTTCTCCAAATAAGAATTTATAAAGATATGTGGGGGCATAGAGAGTTATATTTTCAGTATAAATATTGAAAAACAGCACAGTTGTTTTCTAGATTTAAGCCTTGGCATTCATTTACTCAGCCCATCCTTGTTGTGGAAGCCAGGTGTACAGGGCGAGATGCAAACTCATGAATAACTCCACATTGTCTGTCTCACTGAGCAAAACACAGGGAGTCCAAACTTTTCTTTGTGTGGATAAGAGCTGGGACTGTGGTTCCTGTCCCCTGACCCCTTCACCCTACATTGGGCTCTTGCCTTCACAGAGGCATTGAGTAACTGCACAGAGGACCTACTGGGGACTGAGCTGATGCCACCAGACCGCTGCTACACCTGCCAGTGTAGGGTGAGCCCTCTTGCTCAGAGCCCCTTTGCCCTGCTTTGAGCTGTGGCCCACCTCTCCCCATAGCTACTTCTTGCTCACTCTGACATTTGCCCATTTGCCCTGAATGCCATCTCCTACCTACACCCTACTCCCAACCCTGCCCCCACAACTCCATGACATCTGCTGGTTTCTCCATGTCGTGTTTACATGACCACAATAGGATCTGACATGGTTCTGTACTCACCGGGCCTGTCCTGAGCTCAGCTGTCCCCTGTGGGAGCGCCACACCCCCCCTGGCAACTGCTGCCCGGTGTGTAAAGGTAAGTGGCCAGACTTAGTCTCTCCATCAGAGAGGATCCTGGGGCTGGAGGGGGAAGGGATGGCATTTGTGGGTGTCCTGAGGTCTGCAGGCAGAATGCAGCTTCCATCCTTGTTGTAGAAATTGAGGTGCTACTCAGTTGGGTGCAGAGAAGACTCATGAGGCAGAAGAAATAGGGAACGAGGCCTGCGTTCTCAAGCCTGAGGGTTTTTCAAGGGCCCCGTGAATCCCAGGCCCATAGAGGCATTGCACTTTGCAGTCTACTGGTTGGCCCAGTAGGCTGTTCCAGGGATTGGCATTTTGGGTCTCCAGGACTCCATAACCAACCAGCTTGAGTGCAAGGCCTAATACCCAGCAGACTTACGGGGCTTGCTGAGGAAATTAACACCCTCAGGGTGCTTGTGAAATGCGACAAGAGTTCCCAGAAGGCAGAGTACTGACGGAAAGGCATCCATTTCTCTTCCTGGGACTGAGTGGTAGGGCTCTCCTCAGGAGCCTGGTTAATGGAGAGTGGGCAGGAACCCAGCACTACTTGCTTTACCTGAACCTTTCATGTAACCTGGGGACAAGTGGGTGTGTAAAGGGAGAAGGGGCCTACATCCACCAGCAAATATGGGCCCTGTGAGTGGCAGCGGCATTGTCCTGGGCTCCATTCCCAGCTGCGCTATTGGGGACAGATAGAAGGGACAGGAGGAAGAGGCTCGGCCTAAGGCTCTACTCAGGAAATCCCTAAACAACAGTGTCTGCCTTTCCTTGGGGCCATTTGGAGAGTCCCCTCAAGGAGTGCCAAGAGCTCTGCTGTCCTTACGGCTGGCTGGCAGTGCCTAAAGTCGGCACCTTCTGTGAGCAATGCCAAGATGCGGGCTGTGATGATTGATGGAGGGAATTGGGACGCAGGTGATCCCTTCTGTCTGCCCCACAAGAGCACAAAACCGAGCAGGAGGGAATGATGCCCAGGCCTCAGTTCCTTGCCCAGCACAACGAGGCTGCCACTCATGTGGCCCAATTTGTTGGTGGCTGTTGGTCCCTCCTCCCTTTACACACCCACTTGTCCCCAGGTCACATGATGGGTGCAGGTTGATGCAAGGGTTGCAAGGTCCTGCCCACTCTCCATTCACCGGCTCCTGCGGAGATCCCTCACCCTCCGTTTTAGAAGGAGAAATGGTGTCTTTCCACCAGCACTGATGTGTTGAGTAGGGCACTGACCCTGTCTCATTTCCCCTCAGCCCCTACTCAGTCATGCGTGCATCAGGGCCACCAGGTAGCTTCTGGGGAACACTGGGCAGTAGATGCCTGCACCAGCTGCTCCTGCGTGGCTGGCACCGTGCGCTGCCAGAGCAGGCGCTGTAGTAAGCTCGCTTGTGGCCCGGTGAGTGCTTTGGTCCAGGGTTGGAGGGGCGGGGTGCAAAAGGGTCATTGCCATCCCAGAGCCATGAGAGGGGGCTTGGGCTGCTGTTGGCCATTCGTGAGCTATTAGTGGAGCCAGGGATGGTGCTGTTCCTGGAGTGAACACAAGAGGGCGTCCCAACAACCGGCTCTCGCTGAACCTGGGTTCAAGGGTCAGAGAGAAGATGGGCTGATGCTGTGACTGACCCCGTGTTTGGGTCTGAGGTCAGGCTGAGGCTCCTGCCCTGAGTCCCGGCAGCTGCTGTCCCCGCTGTTTGCCCCGACCGGCTTCTTGCATGGCCTTCGGAGATCCCCATTACCGCACCTTCGACGGCCGCCTGCTACACTTCCAGGGTAGCTGCAGTTACGTGCTGGCCAAGGACTGTCACAGCGACGACTTCAGGTGCGCACCCTTCTCCCTTCTCCCTGACACCCAAATCTGGCGCTTCTGACCTCTGGCACCCGGGCCCTTCCTCCCTGTAGTGTGCACGTGACTAATGATGACCGGGGCCGGAGGGGTGTGGCCTGGACCCAAGAGGTTGCGGTGCTGTTGGGAACCGTGGTTGTGAGGCTGCTGCAGGGCAGGACAGTCATGGTGAGCCAAGGACTCAGGGAAGGTCAGTTCTGCACAGTTCACCTGTCTGGCCCAACATGGCCCCTCCCTTCTCCCTCTCTTTTCCAGGTGGACCAGCACACGGTGACCTTGCCCTTCCTTCAGGAGCCACTGCTGTACGTTGAGCTTCGTGGTCGCACTGTGATCCTGCATGCCCAGCCTGGGCTTCAGGTGCGGCCAGAGGACAAAGCTGGGTGGGTCTGGGAGCCTATGCTTCCGGAACGATAAAGACAGCCGCCTGCTCCTTCCTGTTGGAAGGAGGAGGCAGAAAGAAGTGAGAACATGCAGCTACAACCTCAAAAAGCTGTCCCGAGTCTGTTTTCAGCTATCCATACACTGAGACTCTGGGCCAATATCAGCTGCTTTCTCTGGACCTCAGTTTGTCTGTAAAGTGGGGACTTGGTAGGGATAGGGAGGCTGTCAAGCAAAGTGTTCTAGTGGGCTCTGGGGGCTCTCCCAACTCCCACGTGGAAAGGCGATTTGTTTTCTTGATTGCAGCCAGAGTCATAACTTACAAACCCATGCTTGTGTGCGCTCCATCCAGACTCTGATTGCACTGAATCATGTTTAAGGTCACAAGACGGGTGATTCTCAGGAAGCCGGTTTGGTACCACCAGAAACCCAGTTGAAAGATACCCAGGAGTAGCGGGCAGCTCTCCCCGCCACCAGTATTTGTCCAGGCTGCACAGCAATGTATAAAGTCTACGGAAGTGGCCCAGGCTGTGCACCGGTCCACTCCGCAGCAGTGGACTCTCATTTATGAGCTCCGTGGGGGGGGGGGTCTTTCTCCTTCCCCCTCCCTAGTCCCAGGCCTCTCTACACAGGTGCTGTGGGATGGGCAGTCCCAGGTGGAGGTGATGGTTCCCAGCTCCTACAGGGGCCGGACTTGTGGTCTCTGTGGGAACTTCAATGGCTTTGCCCAGGATGATCTGCAGGGTCCCGACGGGAGGTTTCTGCCCACGGAGGCTGCATTTGGGAACAGCTGGAAGGTGAGTGAGTTGGAAGAAGAAGCTAGGGCAGGCTGGAGGAGCTGGGCACAGGCCCTGCTGTGAAAAGGGACACAAGATAGATTTGGGGGGTTTCATGGAAGTTGGAGGCTTGAAGCTTGTTTTGATTAATTGATTAATAGCGGAGGTAGGATGACCTGTTAGAGGCCTTGTCACCTCAATCCCTAAAGCCTACTCTGTCACTCACTGGCTGTGTGACCTTGAACAAATCATTTACCTCTTTTAATCTTAGTTTATCTAAAAAAAAAAAAAAGAAAGAAAGAAAGAAAGAAAAAGAAAAAAGGGGGCGGGAGGAGAGAGAGAAAGGTGTTTTGCTGTTTCAGTGTTACTTTGGTTTTTGATTCAGGGTCTTGCTAGATACTGGGCTCCAGGCTGTGACCATCTTATCTCAGCTTCCATTGCACCAGATGGGCCGGATGGGCACTTTTACTTCTTTCTATTTTGTTTTGAGAAACTCGTATAATCCAGACTGTCCTTGACCTCTGTGAGGCCTTGAACTGCTAAACCTCCTGCCCAAGTGCTGAGATTACAGGCATGCACCTCCATTCCAGCTTTTTTTGTGGGGTGTAGAGTATTAAAATCAGGCTTTGTGCACACTAGACAAGCAAGCACTCTTCAACTGCGCTCAGCCCCTAGCCCAAAGGGAGAGCTTTGGTTCATTTGCTTTTCTTTTTTGATACAAAGTCTCACTATGTTGTCCAGGTTGACCTGGACCTTTCTATCTAGCCCAGGATCCTCCTGCCCCTCCTTCTAGAACTGGGATCATAAGCGTGTACTATGCCTTGCTCTTTCTTTTTTTAGGTTTTCATTAGCAAATATTAAATATGTATATGTACATATATATATACATATATATATATTGTGTTTCATTTTGACATTTTTATACATGTTTATACTGTATCTTGATCACCTCCCCCATCACCCTATTCCCACTAATTCCTTTCCTCTTCCCAGCTAGCCGTCACATCTACTTTCTTGTCTTTTCTATTTCTTTTCCTCTGACCCAATGAGTTCCATTTAAGGTTGTAGGTAAGAATTGGTTTACAGGAGCAGGGAGACTTTGCCAGTGATGTTTTTCGTATCCTGGTTGTTCTCTCCCTGTAGGTCCCGGAGGAGCTGGGTGCTGGCCGGCCCTGTTCTGCAGGCCGAGAAGTGGACCCATGCCGAGCGGCAGGCTACCGCGCCAGGCGTGAGGCCAATGCCCGGTGTGGGCTCATTAAGAGCTCGTCTTTCAGTCACTGCCATGCTGTGGTTCCGCCAGAGCCGTTCTTTGCTGCCTGTGTATATGACCTGTGTGCTTGTGGACCAGGCTCCTCGGCTGACATCTGTCTCTGTGATGTCCTGGAAGCCTACGCTAGCCACTGTCGCCAGGCTGGGGTGACTCCTGTCTGGAGGGGCCCGACACTCTGTGGTAAGGGGGTGATGCCAGCTTGTGTTAGATGAGGGCATAGTACAGAAAGGAGGAATAGCCCAGTAGACTCAAGTCTGTGTTACAAGCAGGGAGGACACAGGGAGGTCTGTAAAGTATGGCTTGATGACTAAAGAGATGCTGGGGGACCTCTGTGACATGGCTTTCCTCTCTGCAGTGGTGGGCTGCCCTACGGACCGAGGCTTTGTGTTTGATGAGTGTGGACCGCCTTGTCCCCGTACCTGTTTCAACCAGCACATACCCCTAGGGGAGCTGGCAGCCCACTGTGTGGGGCCCTGTGTTCCAGGCTGCCAGTGTCCTGCAGGCCTGGTGGAGCATGCAGGCCACTGCATCTCACCTGAGGCCTGCCCACCAGTCCTGCTTACCAGTGACTAACCAGTCAGGAGCAGCCCCTGGTCACCCGGAGTTAAGAATGCCCTCCGCTAGGACTTACCTGGCCAGAAGTCACCCCTTGGTGGGCAGCGACCTCCAGGCCACAGCTGTAAGGAGAATGCCCTGCTTAGACAGTGGGGTCCTGGGCCGGTCCTCCAGACAGCCCTAGTGCCAAAATACAAGAATAAACTCTACGCTTGCCCGTGACTTGCTTGTGTGTGTATTTCTTCCTGGCACTCACGTGGTGGCTGGGCTGCTTGGAATGTGTGGCCTAGTGGTCAGAGTCACCCTTATGCCTATATCCCTGAGCTGCCTCAACTAGTCACTTCCCGGTGCCGTGTGGGAAACTTACAAACAGAAAGTGCCTCAGTCCATGCCCTGTCTGTGCCTAGTCTATGTGGCAGGTGTAAGTGTTAAGCTTTTTTGTTTGTTTGTTTTCTATTGCTTTGTTTTTCAAGATAGGATTTCTCTGTGTAGCCCTGGCTGTCCTGGGACTTACTCTGTAGACCAGGATGGCTTCAAACTCAGAGATCCGAATGCTTCTGCCTCCCAAGTGCTGGGATTAAAGAGGTGGGTCCACCACCGTCTGTGACTTACATGAGACCCTCTGTGTGTTACGAGTGTATTTTCCCACCAGCCTGGTCCCACAAACAACGCCAGCCCCAAATAATATGCAGAGACGCTATATTTGATTGACCTGTTACTACCATTTCTTATCGGCTAGCTCTGTCTTAAATATTAACCCATTTCTATTAATCTAAGTATCTCCACGTGGTCTCATCTTACCAGAGAGAGGATCCGGATCTCTGCTCTCTTTGTCCTACATTTTGAATCCTACCTACCTCTCCTCTTTCCAAATCTTCCTTGTCTCCCAGTCCCGCCTATCTTGCTTTCCTACTGACCAACAGTGCTTTATTCACTAATAAGAGAAACATATTTACAAAATGATATCTCCCATCACTCTGTGGATCCATGTGGGACCTTGCAGGGGCTGAAGAGAAGAGGCACAAACTGTGTCTGGCCTTCCTGTTTCTTTCTTCTGGTTTGGTGGCACTGGATGCTTCAGTATCTTGGTCACACTCAGAATGGGTGACACAGGACTCCATGCCCAGGGAGAGAGGGACAATAGAAACTTCATATGCATTTGTGCATATACATGAGAACCCTTAGAAACGCAACATGTGCATGTGCATCTGTGTGCGTTCACAGCCACAGCATGAGGTGGACATGTAGACCGGAAAAACAGCTTGCCAAGATGTCATTGTGGGGAGGGGACTTGTGTTTTGAAACAGAACTAGTCTAGAATTTGAGTTCTCTTTGCCATGTATGTGTGACTTTCAGAGTTTTAGGAATCTTAGTTTTAAGGTCAGGGGACTCTTTTGTCATTAATGGCCCCAATATTCTAAGGTAGGTAAGGGCTCGATGTCCCAGGAGGGGATGCAGCCAAGCCCTTCTTTATTTACTTAGGCAACAGAGTATTGAGTTGAATGGAGCCATCCTTCCAGCTCAGCCTTTTGAATAGAGAGGCCATTTTCATTTGGGGCCAGAGAGACAAGTCTGTACCACCGTCTCCCGCAGGGATGCCAACGCTGCAAGCAAGCCGCGATGCTCAGGACAACACAGGCTGTCAAGACTGCCTTGGTCCACTTTCCATTTCTACAGTGAAATGCCCAAAGCATACGAATTATAAATGGAAAGGCTTGTCTGGGCTCACAGTTCTGGAGGCTCCCATCCAAGGTTAGCTTGCCCTGGTACTCTAGGCCTTTGGCGAGGGCAGCAGATGGCAACAGCAGGAGTTATCCGTTGGAGCAAACTTCTTACATCATGAGTCAGGAGACAAAGAGACAAGACAGGGCAGGGGCTGTTCAATTGCCAACAACCTAAGGATTTTCTACAATCCTTCATCCTTAAAAGACCACGGCATCTCCCGATAGTGCCAGCCTGGGGACCAAGCCTTTGACACATGGGTCTTTGGGGGAAACTGACATCCCAACTGCAGAGTAGACCTTCATCGGCATTTCCTTGCTTTAGTTGGCCTGTGCCACATGAGAATAGCAACAGCGCGCATCTTGCAAGGAAGTGGAGTGGGTGGGATGAGCCTGGACAGCGTTTAGCAGGTGGGGAGGCGCTGCCCTATTGCTGGACCCCCCCCCGTGTTCACACTCACTGTCACCTCTCACACTCACTTCCTGCCGACTGTCCCTGGGCCATGCTCTCCCAGAGTGAGCTTGTCCTGACTCTCCAAGTGAATTAGAGGCCCTCTGCAGCCAGCCTCAGGATGTGTGGTTAGGGGTGAGCCTAGCGTGGAGCTGTGAGACGGAATCACAGAGGTGTGTGGGTCCTGACACATGTGAGGCTGCCAGGAGCCGCTGCTGTCACCATGACCCTTACAAAGCATACTTACACGGTGGTCACGTCGCACAGGCGGGAAACTCTTGTAAGCATGGAGTTTTCACGTGATGGCTAATTCACCTGGGAAGAGTGCCACCATGAGGGACTGTCTTGGGCAGGTTGCCCTGTGGGCATGTCTGTGGGGTTGCTTTAATCACTGGGGGAAGAAACAGCCTGAAAGTGGAAGGCTCTGTTCCCTGGTTTGGGGCTTTGGACTGCAGAAAGGTAGAGAAAGCTAGCTGAGTACTCAGCACATGTATTTCTTCTCTCTGCTCTTGACTACAGACGTGATATGACTAGACATCTCCTCCTGCCACCCTACAGTGATGGGCTCAAACCTGTAGCCTTTCTCCCCTAAGCTGTTTTGGTTTTTTTCTTCTCAAGATGAGTTTGTTTTTATGTGTGTGTTTGCCTGCATGCTTATGTGGGCATTGTGTGGGTATGTCTGGTGTTCACAGAGATCAGAAATGGGTGAAGGAGCCACGTGCATGCCGGGGACCTGCCCAGGATCCTCTGCGAGGACAGCAAGTGCTCTTAGCTGCTGAATCATCTCCACAACCCCTCTAAGTTGCTTTTTTGTTGGGCCATTTTATCAAAGCAACAGAAATAAAACTAGAACAATGCATATGTAAGACAAATATTCATGAGGGTTGTACACAGGCACAGGTACTGAGATCTCTTGTATCATGCTCTGTGTTCCATCTCTATCCCAGTGTCCCCGGGAGGCTCCTGCACAGCCTGGCCCTGCTCAGGTGTCAGGGCCCTGCATTATTGAGATCTGAGCTTTTGTTCCTGTTCCTTGTCCCCTGCCTCTCTTGAGGCCCCTGTGGCAGATACAGATGCGGAGGAGGGAGAGAACATTTACCCTGCTCTCCTCCCCATGGCGCAGGCATCCATTCCTCGGGGCCCAATACTCCCCTGCAGCCCCAAGCAAGCATTGACCCTGTACCAACTTCTCTTCCAGCGCCCTGCAAGTCTAGGCCAGCTCCAAACTGCATTACAGCAGGTACAGAAGGCCATGGGCCGCTTCCAAAGGACAAGCAGACAGGGACCTGATCCCACTCTTGATCCCCACTCTAGGTTCATGGGGGCTGGGACTGTCCCCCAGGGCTGGAGCTACCCATGCTACTTCTGGAGATGGAGCAAGGCCTGCGGGCCCAGGAAAAGGTAGGGGCTGGCGCATGGGGGAAGCAGATGCAGAAGGCAGATCTCCTCATTTCCTGGCTCTCCATCCTCATGCAGCTTCTCTGGGACTTGGAGCTGCTGACTGGGGTTGGGCTGGGCCTCTTCTGGCCCCCCTGGGCTGGGTCCTATGGCCAGAGGGACCGGACTCAGCATGCGTGGAACCAGTGCAGCCAGTCCTGGGGCAGGAATCTAGATGGGGACTCTGAGCAGCTGGTGAGTAGGGGTACCATGTGACACTGTGGTCCGGGGGTGAGGGGAAATGGGAGATGCATGAACTTGGAGGACTTACAGGCCTAGGTTCATGTCTGCTTTGTGATTTCCTGCGGACTCTAAGCTTCAGGTCGCTCTGCTATAGATGTGGGTGGTGATAGATCCTTCTAGATTTTCTGCAAAGGCCATTGGTTGAGCCACTGGACTACTGAGACAAAAGGGTTCCCACCACACCCAACAAATACCATGTTGTAACTCGAAGACTGCACAGTTAACAACTGGCTGGTGGAATCAACTGTGAGACATGTGCGAAGCCTCTCCAGTGGCTGCCCAGAGGGAAGGATGCTACCTGGTAGGTCCAAGAGGACAGAAGCACCCAGTGTGGCCCTGAGACAGAGATGCTGAGCGGCCTATGTCCTGGGCTCCCGAATGCAGTACTCAAGCTGGGCTGATCCTTTGGATAGGTGACTGGTCCCAAAGCAGAGCTAAGAACTGGGGATGGCACCACAGTCCTGTCATTGAGGCCAAGTTAGTGGCTTCTCGGGCCGAGCTGTCCTCTGTGGTAACAAAAGGTTTGTTAGTAGTCAGCGCGTAAGAAGAGTTCAGCCAACCTTGAGGAAGAGGTGTCACAAAGGGCATAAATTCCAGGAGGCAGGAGACATGAAGGCCTGCTGGAAGCTTCCTTCCACACTCAGGGAATGGGGGATGCTACCCTGTGGGTATGGGCTCTCTTAATCCTTGCAGAATTCCAAGCTGTGCCCTCCTACCCAGGCTGGGGAAGCCCCAGGTGACAGCCATCGGCTTCCAAAAGGGTGAGACTTGCTCCCCGGGACTCTGTGTTCTCAGTACTGACCCACAGCAGAGAACCCACATCCCCTCATGGTCCTCCTGGTGTCCCTCCTCCTGCCTCCAATTCTGTCTAGACCGTTGCTCGGTTGTACCCACAGTTGCCCCATACTCAATCCCTGGAAGGGCAATGCAGCTCCCAGGACCCACTGGCTGCAGGAGTTAGGGGGTGAGGGAGTCTACCGGGCAGGCTGCTCCTCACTGCAGCTGCTGAACTCCGGCAGGAAGCAGGCCACGGATCCCTCATCTGCCTCAGACCTGGGTAAAGGCGTGAACAATGCAGACCCAAGGCTGGAGGGCCCCATTGTGCCTGCAGAGATGGCGCCCGGTACACCGACAAGAGTGTGTCAAGAAACCAAGGGAGCAGGCACTCCTGGAGCTGGTAAGCCAGACTAGACCAGGAGGCAGGGACAGTGGCATTCCAGGTCCTTCTTCACCCCCATACCTTTTCACTGGGTGTCAAGTCAGCCGGGGACGGCAAATAGGATTTTACTTTAGTTTGTTTTATTGAGACAAGGCCTTGCTGTCTTTTTGTTTTGTTTTTTCTTTTCTCCCTCCTCACCCCAGGCTGTGTAGCTCTGGCTGTTCTGGAACCCACTCTGTAGACCAGGCTGGCCTTCCAAGGGCTGGGATTAAAGGCATGCGCCACCACTGCCCAGCTTTGTATAGGCCATCTTAACCTGGAACTTGCTGTGTAGTCCAGGCTAATCTTGAATTCACAATCCTCCTGCCTCAGTCTCACAAGTGCTAGGATTATGGGTGCACCGCCAAGCTCAACTGAAGTAGGTTTTATTGCCAATTTCCCGTTGGCACCAGCTGTCTCAGGCCCTGTGTCCAGCGCCATTCTGAACTGAACTGGGGCTCAGGCAGCAAGAGCCAGCCGTTGAAGGAACAGGGGGAAAGGAACAGGATAGCAATCCAAGGCTATCCATTTGCTACCCTTATGCCAAGCGCAGGGGCCATACAGAGACATGGGAGGGCCGGTTCAAGTCTTTGAGATCACAGCATTGCCAGTAAGACAAGAAGGGGGCAGACAGGATTTGGCAGGATAGATGCCCTGGCCTCCCCTCCCCCAGCCTGTGGTGTTGATTCACATTATGTGTCAAACAGTACCAGTACATCTGCCAAAACTACAATTGTTTTATCACTTGGAAGAAAGAGTGTTAATGGATCGGTTTTTTTTTGGCTGACAGAGCTTTTACCAGTATGTTGTTTCAGGAAAGGCAAGGATACAAATTACACTATATTACCTGGGTTGGGGGTGGAGCTGTCTACACTATATAACCTAGGGGGAGGTTCTCTAAGACCATAAGCTCAGAAGGAAGAGGGTAGGGGCATGTTTTTCACTTTTTGGTAATGATTTCTAAAGCCAAGAATCTTACAAGACTCCTTTGTTTAAAAAGCCCTTTGAAGCCCCATGTATTTCCATAGAAAACACACCGCTGTGGTTACTGTTGTGAATGACGTTCTCCTTGCAAGAGAAAGAAGTTAACAGTCTTGCAAAGGAGCTATGAAATGCAGGCCCGAAACCAGTGCTGTGGATGTGGACGGAGAGAGAGCCGTCTCTCTTCCACAGCTGCAGGGAGCCGGGACAGCACTCTCCTCTTTTTAGATTTCTTTTGTTAATTATGAAGACTTGGCAGTTTTTAAGCCAGGCTCGGGCTTAAAATTTCCTTTGATTTGATTGCCAGAGACAAAGATCTAAGTAGGATCTTCCCTCATAACAGGGGAAGTATGGTAGACACAGGGGGGTTCTTCTGTGGGCCTGAACCAGCATGCCTGGACAAAGTGGGAGTCAGGAAATGGCCCCTTCTTGCGGTGTTCTTGGGGGAGGACTCTGAGCTAAAGAGACGAGGAAGTTGGAGTCGGCAGTTTGCAGGCACAGGTGTATGGTAGGCGGTGGGAATGAGGGCCTGTGATTGTGACGTGAGGCTCAAGTGCCACTCTTGGGGCTCCTCCCTCCCCTCTGCATAGGGCCCACCCTAGGTATTGCCATTCTAATTCAGGTGGGGTGGGTATTAGAGGTAGACAGCAGCCCACCAAAGTCGCTTTTCACCATAGGTTGTTTATGTCCAACCAGCTGCGGCGGTAGCTTCAAGGAGCCAGGAAACCCAGAACTTAAGGTGAAAGGGTCAAAGGGTCATGGGCAAGAGCCCTTTCAGGGTAGCAGGGGTGGAGACTGCTGGGGTGAGGTGGGGTGCATTCTACAGCTGGGTGGAAAGACCTTCTACACCACAGAAAATGTGTTTAGCACACTCGGGGGCCAACAAAAGTAGGTGGATGGTGGCGGTGGTGTGGTGTGGTGGTGGTGTGGTGGTGGTGTGCTGGTGGTGTGGTGGTGTGGTGGATGGTGGTGTGGTGGTGGATGGTGGTGTGGTGGTGTGGTGTGGTGGTGTGGTGGTGGTGTGGTGGTGTGGTGGTGTGGTGGTGGTGGTGTGGTGGTGTGGTGGTGTGGTGTGGTGGTGGTGTGGTGGTGGTGTGGTGGTGGTGGTGGTGTGGTGTGGTGGTGGTGGTGTGGTGGTGTGGGTGTGGTGGTGGTGTGGTGGTGTGGTGGTGGATGGTGGTGTGGTGTGGTGGTGTGGTGTGGTGGTGTGGTGTGGTGGTGTGGTGTGGTGGTGTGGTGTGGTGGTGTGGTGGTGTGGTGGTGGTGTGGTGTGGTGTGGTGTGGTGGTGGATGGTGGTGTGGTGTGGTGGATGGTGGTGTGGTGGTGTGGTGGATGGTGGTGTGGTGGTGGTGTGGTGGTGTGGTGGTGTGGTGGTGTGGTGGTGGATGGTGGTGTGGTGGTGTGGTGGTGGTGTGGTGTGGTGTGGTGGTGTGGTGGTGGTGTGGTGTGGTGTGGTGGTGGATGGTGGTGTGGTGGTGTGGTGGTGGTGTGGTGGTGGTGTGGTGGTGGATGGTGGTGTGGTGGTGTGGTGGTGGTGTGGTGTGGTGTGGTGGTGTGGTGGTGGTGTGGTGTGGTGTGGTGGTGGATGGTGGTGTGGTGGTGTGGTGTGGTGTGGTGGTGGATGGTGGTGTGGTGGTGTGGTGGTGGTGTGGTGGTGTGGTGTGGTGGTGTGGTGGTGTGGTGGTGGATGGTGGTGGTGGTGTGGTGGTGTGGTGGTGGTGGTGGTGGTGGTGGTGTGGTGGTGTGTGTGGTGGTGGTGTGGTGTGGTGTGGTGGTGTGGTGGTGGTGGTGTGGTGGTGGTGTGGTGGTGGTGGTGGTGGTGTGGTGTGGTGGTGGTGGTGGTGTGGTGGTGGTGGTGGTGTGGTGGTGGTGGGGTGGTGGGTGGTGGTGGGATGGTGGTGTGGTGGTGGTGGGTGGTGGTGTGGTGGTGGTGGTGGTGGTGGATGGTGGTGTGGTGGTGGTGGTGGTGGTGGGGTGGTGGTGGGGGGTGGTGGTGGTGGTGTGTGGTGGGGTGGTGGTGGTGGTGTGGTGGGGGTGGTGGTGGTGGTGGTGGTGGTGGGTGGTGGTGGTGGGTGTGGTGGTGTGGTGGTGGTGGTGGTGTGTGTGGTGGTGTGTGGTGGTGGTGTGGTGGTGGTGGTGGTGGTGTGGTGGTGGTGGGGTGGTGGTGTGGTGGTGGTGGTGGTGGTGTGGTGGTGGATGGTGGTGTGGTGGTGGTGGTGGTGGGTGGTGGTGGTGGTGGGGGGGGGTGGTGGTGGTGTGGTGGTGGTGGTGGTGTGGTGTGGTGTGGTGGTGGATGGTGGTGTGGTGGTGTGGTGGTGGTGGTGGTGTGGTGTGGTGTGGTGGTGTGGTGGTGTGGTGGTAATGGGATATGGAAGGCTCTGGGGGAAGAGCACGAACTTTTTCAACTCAAACTTTGTCTTTCCTAGGACCCAGGCAAGATGGAAGAAAGGAGTCAAACAGGGCCAAACGTTCAGAGTTCTTGTGGACAGGCGCATAGAAGCCCGCAGGAGGGAACGCTGGACCAGGAGGGCTCAGAGCCCTCTGACCCGGCTTCCCAGGGCTTGCCAGAACTCCAGGATCCCTCCAAGGGGCTTAGTGCTGGCCTGAGCCACGAGAGAGCCGAGGGAGCAGAGCCCCACACTCTGCTGACCGACTCTCCTCCTCGAAGTCACTCTGAGGAGACAGCACAGGGTCAGCGTGGGCAGTCAGCTCTGGGTTATACAGGAGAGTCGATTTGGGGACAAGACAATGGGGCTCCTCAGAGTCAAAGAGAAAGGAAGCAGACTCAGCAGGGCCAGGAATTCAAAGCCCCTCAGTTTGGGGAAGGTGGTAACTCAGAAGTCTGGGGGGAAGCAACAGTGTGGCCCCAGGAAGAGGGCGACCCTGAGGGCCATCCCAGGGACTTCTGCAGGCCCCCGGGAAAACCGATCCCAGTGGAAACGGGAATGCCAGGACCCCCGGGTAGTAGCACCCAGCTGACACAGGTGATGGCCACCCAGGAAGGGGCGTGGGCTCCTTCCCCTGCCTCGATGCCTCATCCGGCCACGCCACCTCTCCGAGACCCAGGAGGCGGGATACTGGCCTTTGGGGCGCAGGAGCCCCAACCGAGGCTCCAGGGTGCTTTCTGGGAACAGGGAGGCCTTAGAGAACCCAAATCCTCGAAGGCCGCGTGGCCCGAGCCTCGGTGCAGGGAGGAGGCACTGGCGGGTACTGAGCAGGAGGCTCTGCAGCGGCTGCTGGAGCTGCACCGCGCGGCCAGGGAGCGGCAGCGGCGGGACCGCGAGCAGCAGCGGCTCCGGGTGCGTCCCAGGGCCCCGCCTGCCGGCGGCGGAGGTCACAGGAGGGTAGGGTCGCCCAGGCAGAGCCCGGCTGACTGCTTCCTTCCCAGGTCCTGGAACGACTCCGCATCCTCAGGAACCACCATCGCCGGGTTCACCCGCTGGGGCTCCCTCCCAATGCCGCGCAGATGGCCCCGCAGGCAAGAACCTGGGGAAAGGCAGCTCGACCACCACGGCTCTGCCCCTGGAGGGGAGAGCAGTAGCCAGCGGCTGGCTTCCGAGAGGGCTCAGCGGGAGAGGGGCGGGCTGGAGGCACCCTGCTGGGTGCACCCGCCTGCTTAGAGCTCTGGTCGCCCAGGGGGATGCGGCAGGATGGAGACGCATCTTGCAGGAGCGACTGGAACAAGTCCACCGGGGCAGGACTCAGTGGCTGAGGGCACTCGGGGCCAGGTGAGGGCCGGGCAGGGAATGGTGGGTGCTCCTTTACCCTAACATCTGACCGACAAGCTACTGTCCTTCCCAGGAACACTCAGAACTTCCAGGAGCTACTGTCCCCTGGCACTGAGAAGCCTAGTCCTGGAGAATAGTGCGCACACCACCCAGCCTGTTCCTGTCCTTGCTGAGTCCTCGTGGAGATACAGAGATGGATGATGGTTAAGGAAAAGGTGTGAGGTAGTTTCAGAAAGGTCCAGAGGGACGCATTAAGGCCAGGGAGAACAAAAATATAACAGCAATGCAGCTCCAACAAGAATCCTATTATTTCCTCTTTCTGTCCCTAAGTCACTGCCAGGCCCGAGGTCAGATGGCCAGATCTCGGGGATCCAGGAATGCAAAGGCCCCATTTTTACGGAAGAATGACTCAATGCGGCACATCTTGCAGGAGACCAATTCTTGCTTTGTAGCAGGACCTGGGGAGAGATGTCAGACACTAGGAATGGGTTTCTGGGGAAGGGTCCCAGAGCACAGGAGTCTGTCACGTAGCCCTAGGACTCTTCCCATGTTGTATCCACTCTGCGTGAATAAATGGAAAGGGCTTCTGAGGAGTGGGGGCTACAGGAAAATACGCCTGGGTCTGGGCAACTGGACTTAGCAGTGATGGCCTTGTGGCCTGCGGTTGTCTGCCGCGGTTGCCCAGTTCCTAGATGATGCTCCACCAGAGCCTCCTTTTGGGTATCTAGATGACAGACCACTCTCTCCCCAGGGCCACCAGGTCAGAGTGTACCTCTAGCTATGACTGTCACAGGGACAGACTGTGCTTTTGTTGGGAAGCTGCTCCCCTTGCTTGCCGGGGGCGGGAGTTGGTGGGGATGTGGGAACTGTGTTCCTCTCTAACCACCCACCTTTTCTGCACACACTCAGGCAGTGGGACACACTCCCTAGAAATTCCTGATTGGTAGTAAATATACACCCAAGAGCCCTCATCAATCCAATGACACCCATGGCCTTATTGCTTTCCCACTTTTAAGAAGTCACTGAGCTTCTCCAGCTGTCTCTGAGCCAGCTGATGACCTACCTTCAGCCTGGGGGGGTGGTATGGGCACTCAGGTGGGTTGCCTTCCTGTCAGTGCCGACCCTATCTTCTGCCCACCTTCCACACTTTGCTTTAAATAGCTCTTACACTCTCCTGACTCTGTCTCACCTAAGTCCTGAAGGCCCTACTTCCACACATAGCTGCCTCAGTGACATCTGGAATCTACCATGACCAACACAGATCTCTCTTCACACATCTCTAGCCCTGTCTCTTCTAATTTTTCCAGCAACTACAACGAAATGTGTGCATTGCCATCGATTGTGCTCCCTGTCAACTTTAAGCCATCAATGCTCTTCATTGAGTTTTGTCCAAAACATTGTTGATTTCAGTTCTGCTAAACCTACTCACATCTTGCCAAGATAACACAAAACACCTAACTCATCTGGTAGATGCTTTAACTTCCCAAATCCATTATCACTGACTTGCTTAAAACTCTCACTAGCTTCCCCTCAAATAAGAGTAAACTCCAAAGCCCTCCCCACATCATTTACCCTTAAAAGCCTCAAGAAAGGCCTTTTCTAAGAATCCGACCTGAAGCACATGCCCCTGCCCCCTCTGCCCATCACCACCCCATTTCACAAGGCTTGCCCCTCTTAGACCTCTTTCCTTGCCCTGTTCATACCACCTGGCCTGCCCCTAGAACCCCCACTGTCCAGAGTAAGGCAGGAGCTCCATGATTGTGTGGTGACTCATTTCCGGGAGGTTGGGGCTCACCCAGCTGCCAGCCATATGTGAAGTTGGTGGTGATGGGGAACAGGTAGCGTGTCTCTGGCAGGTCCAGTTTTCGGGTGTTGAGATACTGGTAGCGTCCCTGCAAGTCATGGGAGATGCCTTCGTACAGCAGGGCTCTGGTGTCAGATGGTACTGGGTACATTTCTGACTGAAAAGGAGTCTCTGGGGAAGGGCTGAGGGCCTTGGAAGAGGCTGCTTTGGAGGCAGGTGGTCGTGAGACCGAGGCCTTAGGCAGCAGGGTGGGCAGTTCCAGGGGCAGGCGGGCTGCAGCCTTGGCCTTCTGCTTGGCCTTCACCAGAGTTCCATACTTGCGGTGCCACTCACAGCGCAACTTCATCTCTCTGAGGTATTCCTCCTTCCAGAAGTTTTGCCGCAGGGTGTCCATGTTGAGCTGCCTCGACATGGTGGCAAGGGAATGAGCACTATTGGGGTGGCTATTGCTGAGTGAGCACAGCAAGCAGGCACAGTGGGTGGCTGTCCTGGGACAGTCACCTGGCAACTGAGCTTCACCTCACACAGGGCCAGGATTCTACCCTCAGCAGATGCCCTGTGTCACCCTTTCTGAGGCAGCCCAGCACAGGGCTCACTAACTAAACCTTAGTTCCCAAACCCGTGGGCTCCAGGCTCTATCTAGAGCAGTGGTTCTCAACATTCTTAATGCTGTTGCCCTTTAATACAGTCCCTCGTGGTGTGCTGACCCCCGCAACCATCAAATTATTTTCATTGCTACTTCATAACTGTAATTTTGCTACTGTTATGAATCGTAATATAAATATCTGTGTTTTCGGTTGGTCTTGGGTGACCTCTGTGAAAGGGTCGTTCAACCCCACGGGGGTCTCGACCCACAAGTTGAGGGAGACTCTTGATTTAGAATGACAATCCTATGCAACTGCTTTTGTCCCTTGGGCACGGCATCTCCCAGCACCATGAAAACTGAGTGAAGACACAAAAACACATGGGGTTCAAACTCTGTCCTCTGTCCCTGAAGCCGGTCTACAATCCAGGTGACCAATCCTTGAATTAGGCCCCCTGGCTCAATTGTCCCTCACCTGGTTCTTTGGCAGCTTTCCCGTTCTTTGCCAATCTAATGTCTCCCAACACTGCACCCATTTGGAGAGAATATTCCTTTAATATCAATAACGACACTGTGTAACAGCACAGGGAGGAGGTAGGAGAGAGATGGTTGCTCTTCCTTTCCCCAACCAGCCTGGATCTGAACAGCAGAGCCCCAACAGCTTAGGAGCCACTCAGTGAAGAGAAAGGGAGGGTTCAGAAACCAAGGCTTCAAACTTAAATAGAGGATGGCAGACTGGGAGAGGCCTGGTAGTGAGAGGGGGTTGAGGGCTGCGGAGCCCTAGCGCAGGTCTTCGGCGGTGAACATGCCCTTGGCCCTGCGCAGGATGGAGTCCTTGGCTGCATCGTACGGATGCTCCTTGGATGGGATCTCCAGGACAGCCGGGATGGACCGCTGGTGGGCGTCGAGGGCATGCCGGACCATCTCTGCAATGTATTGGTTGATGAGAATGATGCCAATGTCGTCCCTGTTCAGAAACTGCCTGTTGGGAAGAAAAAGGAGACTGGCAGTGCCCTGGGGGCATGAGGTTCTCAGCTGTAGCTTCCCTTGGGTGAAGAGCTCAGAACCATACTGACTAGGGCTCATGTCAGTCAGTGTGTTCTATATGCTGCTCTGGGTAGGAAAGGAGAGAGGGAGAAATTTTAAGACACAGACTGGAGGAGACAACCAAAGGCCTCAAGGTCTGTGCTCATGAGGGCAGGGGATGGGCCAGACATCTGCCAGAAGTCAAAGACAAGATGGAAAGAGGAAACTCAGCAATGACGGAATCACAATTTCCAGACAGAAACTGTCATTATGGCCTTCCTCTCATGTGATCACCCCCTCCCCCACAGACTTACACATTCAACCATCTGCTCATTAAACATAATTTACTGAAAAACCAAAAAAAAAAAAAAAAAAAAAAAAAAAAAAAGAGAAAGACAAAAAGAAAGGAAAGCCAGGCAGTGGTGGCACTCCTTTAATCCCAGCACTTCAGAGGCAGAGACAGGCAGAGCACTGAGTTCCAGGCCAGCCTGGTCTACAGATTGAATTCCAGGAAGGCCAAGGCTACACAAAGAAACCCTGTCTCGAAAAACAAAACAATAGCAATAATTTACTGGGCACCTACTTTGTGCCAAACATGGAATAGATCTGACTTGATCATTTTAGGATCCCTTCTTGTTGGAAACATGGAAATTTTTTAGAAGCAAAATCTATCCTCCAGTGACACACTGCTTAGAGAGATCAGCTGATCTCAGTCTCCCAGGCCAGAGCCTGCCATATCCCAGGCAGTGGGAACTGGCCTCAGCCAGCATGCCTTGACTGGGCTGTTTGGGGGAAACAGGTGGGGAGAACAGGCAAGGGCAGTTTATTCCTGAGACTTGGCACCGTAGCCCTGGAAAAGGAATGCAAGAATAGGGCGTTGGTACCCTCAGTTCTAGTCAACAGGATACTTCCTGGCTTGGAAGATCTGCACCCACTTTTTGAAGCTATGATCTCTGACCCAGGGCACAAAGTGATGACTTGGCGGACAAGGTCTTTGTGGAAGGCCATACTTTCCAGTGTTCTGCCCACTGTGCTCAAGACAAATGGAAACCCCAAGGGAGACTGAAGGTAGCTGCAGGAACAGAGTAGCTTAAGAAAGGCAAAAGAGGGCTACCAAGACGGATCGGTGGGTAAATGTGCCTGCTGGCTAGTTGAGTTCTTCTATTCTCCAGGCTCATAGAAAGAGAAAACTGATTCCGCAAGGTTGTGCAGTGACAAGTACCTACCTACCCACAGTCAAACATCCACATCACACACACAGACTCAGTAAATAAAAAATAAAAACAGACGGGTAGTGGTGGCGCTCACCTTTAATCCCAGCACTCGGGAGGCAGAGGCAGGCGGATCTCTGTGAGTTTGAGACCAGCCTGGTCTACAGAGTGAGTCCCAGGACTACAGAGCAACTCTGTGTTAAACAAGAGAGAAGGAGTTGACCTAAGTTCTGCCTCACAGCTGGTGTGTCTTTGGGTCTGTACCTTAACCTATCCGCCCTTTATTTTTCTCGCCAGTAAGTGGGAATACCCACCACCTTACAGGACAACGAAGCTGAAGCGTACACACGTGTACACACGTGTACACACACACACACACACACACACACACACACACGCCTACTGTCCATACCCACAATGGATGTGGTTTGACTTAAGGTGAGCATCAGGGACCCCGGAAGAGGCGCTGAGCCTGCGGGTCTCCACCGACTGGAAGCTCCAGCAGGAGTCCACGTCCAGCAGAAGGTGGCGGCTCACAGGCTCCGCTCTCTCTCCTAACCTGACACACAATCATGTGCCGGGGAGCTCGGGGACCTGCCTTGCGCCGAACCCCTCAGCCCCAGGGGAACTCGGGCGGCGGAGGCTTCTGCTCCGGATGGGCTGACGGCTTCCAGGGCCACCCCCGCTCCCCGTCGCCGCCCGCCGCCCAGGTAAACAGGCCACTAAGGCTCCTCGCTCTTGTAACAAGCACAAGGACCCATTTAGGCCTCACAGGCTACCGTACCTGAAAGTGTCTTCGATCTCATTGATGGTGGTATCTTTCTCAACTACCAGGAAATTCGGGTGGCGGTTCTTGTTAAGCTCCCCTATGCCGCCCAGGAGGAAACCCGTCACCGTGTCCTCGTCCCCAATCACCGCGATTAGTTTACCCCTGCCCGCCATTGCGTCGGCAGAGCGGAGCGCTACCGGAGCACCTGAGATGCCCCGCCCCCGCAGCGGCCACGCCCTCAGTCACGCGCCGTTCCCCGCCTCCTGGACATGCGCATTAGCAGGAGTGCGCCTCAGTCTGAGTCCCGCTGCGCCATAGAGGCCGGAACCACGGAACTACGTTTCCCAGAAGGCTGAGCGGCGCAGGCCTCGCTCCGCGCTCTGTCCTTCGGTCCTTCCTTCCTTCTGGAAGCAACGTTTTGGTTTGTTTTGTTTTGTTTTTTGAACCTAGCGTTATTAAAGACAGAGACTTCAGGGGACATACTCTTTTATTTGTGTGTATGCTGTTTTGGCTTTTTTGAGATAGGTATTCGTGTAGTCCAGCTCGAACTTGCAGTGTAGGAGAGGATGATCTTGAATTCCTGTTTCCACTGCTACTTTCTACACAGAACAGAATATGTGTATAGTTTGTTTGGTTAAAAATGTTTTTTTTTTTTTTTCTGTTACGTTCTTTTGGAGGCTCGCGGGGTGGGGTGGGGGCAAGTGTGTGAGGTCATAGTGCAGCCTGTGAGAATCTCTTTCACAATGTGGGTCTTAGGGTCATCTGGTCAATACGATGTGTGGTTTGTTTGTTTGTTTTTTTTTTTTAACCTTTCTTTCCTCCTTCTTTCCCTCCCTCTCCTCGCCCCCCCCCCCCCCCCCCCGTTTTCTTAGCCTAACCTGGCCTCAAACTTTTGGTGGTCCTACTGTCTCAGCCTCGAAAGTACTAGGATTTAAGGCTTATGCCACCATGCCACAAACCCTACCCTTTGTTTTGGTTTTATCGGATAGTTTGCCTTTTGAAAGCTTGCTGCCTGGAACTCAGAATGTAGACCAGGCTGGCCTTGAACTTGCAGTGAGTGATCCTACTGCCTCATCCTCCAGACAAGATTACAGGAATTCTCCATGACCTCCTGCCTCCTTCATTTGTTTGTTTTGCCCAGTCAGGCCTCAAACTCTCCAACTCTTATCTCAGGCTGGGATTACAGTACAGGGATTATAGATGTGGGTTACCACAATTATCCTAGAAAAGTTATTTCCTAACTGGAAGGTCAAGGTCTATGCAGTGTCATGTACACATGCAGTTAACTATGACAATTAATATATATTTAATTACTAAAGAAATGAGCAAATTGTTGACACTGAGTAGTGCTATAGAGAGCCAAGGCCTTATGTTGGTTTCTAAATTTTGATATAGAAGTAAGCCTAGTGTTTAGGAGGTTGAAGCAGGAGTGCCACAGGCTCGAGGTCAGCCTGGACTAAATATTAAGACTGTCTCGGGGATAGCAAGCTGGCTCACAGTTGATGACCTGAGTTTCAATCCCTAGGACCTACATGGTAGATGGAGAGGAGCAAGTTCTGCAAGTTGTCCTCTGACCTCTTCATCTGTGTTATAGAATACACACACACACACACACACACAGAGACAGTTGTAAACAGTTGGATTTTTTGAAACCCATCACAAACAACAATAAAACAGCACTCAGAGAGGCAGAGGCAGGTGGATCTCTTGAGTTCAAGAGCAGCTTAGTTTACAGAGTGAGTTCCAGGACAGCCAGAGCTACACAGCAAAACCCTATCTCTGAAAACAAAACAAACAAAATTAAAGAGTTTAGAAGTTTTCCTGAGGAGTAAAGGGTAATTAATTCCAGACTCATGCGTTAGAACTATCCTGAAACTATGCTGTGTGTAGAGGCAAGACTGAAGGAGAGGATGATGGCTGGAATGCTGGTGGGATACTAGGGAAGGTGGAGGAGATGGAGTTGAGAGGTTCTTGGAGTCAGAGCACACAAAACTGGTTTTGAGGTTATATATGTTTGAGCAGCAAACAAAGAGGCCCCATGACATCAGGTTGGAGGAGGAAGGGCCACTGTTCTTCCAACACACACACATGCACACGTGCATGCACACGCATACAGGTACACACACACAGGGGCAGGAAGAATTGGGCTTGGTCCACGTGATCTAGTCTAGTGACTGTATGTATATATCAATCTGGATTGTCAACGTGATTGAATTGAGAAACCCTGGTCCCAGGGTATTAATGAGACTTACCTTTGGTCTCCCAACACACAGTGAATATGGGTGACACCATCACATACAATGGGATCCAAGACTGTGTAAAAAAGGCTACAGATGTCTAGTGTGATCTAAGTGGCCTCTGACTGCCCAGATGTGTTCTCTGCATCCTGATCCTCCTCATGTGTGTAAGCAGCCTTGAGCTCCTACCACCCCAGTCAAAGCTTCTTGTGTCTTCCTCACTGTAACTTCAAGCTGTGAGCCAAAATGAACCCATCACCCCTTTAGTTACTTCCTGGCGGGTTTTTGTCACAACTACAAGGAAAAATAGAAGCAATATGGCTTGGGATATGGAGGTACATGCGGGCTTCACTCTCAGCTTGGCTGTTTCGAGGCTTCAGTTTTAGACTTAGCACTGAAGTTTTCAGGGCAGTGTCACAGGACTGTATATGGACTGGGAAGAGGCCCACAGTTGCTCAGCACCTATCGCCTGCCATGGCTTGGTGAGAGCAGCTGACCCACTATGCCTGAGGACTTCAAGTCACAGGGAGGGCAGCAAACCAGCTCAGTTTGGGGCGAGAGGGGATGGGTAGGGAGTGAGGGGAGGTAAGGGGGTGTGGATGGGGACCATGTGCTCCAGCACCTGGCGCAGAAGTCCCAGATGAACATTAGTGGCCCGAGAGAGCAAACCTACCTTTAATGGGATGAATGAGCTTTAAGGGGTGAACAGTATCATGTGCATCCCTGCTCCTTTCAACCGCCATTTATCATAAGGGGACCATGACTGGGAGCTAGCGGTGAATGGTTGGTAGGACAGGGGGAAGTGAGAAATCCCAGGAAGCGCAGGGATGCAGTAAAGTCTCAGAGGGACCTTGATGGCAGATCCAGGGAGAGGGGAGCGGAGTACCCACTGTCATCCACAGTGTCACAGGGACAGGAGACAGTTCTACACTGCCATCTGCAGCGGTCTGAGAGGTTGGTCTGTTGTTTGTTTGTCCCCCACCCCCACCCCCAGACCTCTCTTAGGTAAGGCTGTTTTGCTTTTGGTTTTTGGTTGTTTTCATTTCAGAAAAGAATTTCAGGACGAGTCAGTACCAAGCTGAGCATTTATTAGAGATTAGCAGAGGTTCAGCAAGGTGGAGAGGGTCTCAGGGGAAGGACAGGATGCATTCAAGCATGGGTGTGGCTTCTCCAGCAAGAATGACTCGTCTTAACCGTAACCATATGCATTATTTTGGTGATTTCTGTAGCCACATTTCAAAGGGTTACTAAGGAGCTCAATGAGATCATAGGGTGTTTCCTGATGTGCACTGGACAGGCTCTCAGCTGATAAGTACAATCCTAAATCACATGGGACGCCTGGGGAGGTTAAGATGTTTTTATTGTCAACAGTTTAGTCTTATTTGTAAGATTCCCAGAAAGCTTCCTGTTTGCAGCTGGGGAGAAAGGCAATATGTGCTTAGGCCTTGAGCATGGGTCATTGCTACTTTGTCATTTTTATTTGAATAGCTCAACAGAAAAGGAGTATTGTCTCCATTTTGGCAATCTTCACAGAAAATGTGAATTGTGCCGGAATTCTTGACTCAGACTTGAGCCAGAGTCTGGGAGTGAGGAGGTTTCTTTCCCTTTCCATGCGGGTCCCATGAGTCTTTCTATCCTGCCTCATTCTTGGGACAGGAAGGGAAAGAAGAGAGAATGAGGGAGCAGACAGGCCACTGAATGAGGTCAGGTTTGGGGGCTGGGGTCACACTGTCTTGGGTCTTGGTGGCATCACTATGGAGTGCCTGGGGACGGTCTCTTGTTATGGGATCCATCTAGTGAAGTGAGATTTGCCCTGCTTTGCAACTTGTTCACATATCATTCTTGCCTGCATTGGAACTGTCAGGGTCAGGGGCTTAGACTGGTTGTGGAGGCCATGGGTATCTAGTCACACAGGTCAGGGTAAGCATAGGCAGACATGTGCCCCACCCAAGTGTGGAGATTGGTAGTAGTGACTCAGAAGAGGCCATAAGAGGCCCAGAAAAGCTTCCTGTTGGCCAGAAAGATGAGTGTGGGAAGGCAAAGGTTTCCAGGTAGAGGCCGGAGCTACCCAGGAAACCATGGAGATTGAGCATGCAATGTGCCCAACCACATGTTGGGGAGATAGGTCTAAATTCGGGAGTGCAGAGAGGACCATCTCCCGGAATGGCACCAGAGCCACGGGCCCTGGCTGTAAACCAGAGGGACACGAGGCCTTTAATGGGACCCATTCTAGCTGCATGGAACATAGAGGGTGGGTCAGGGCTAAGAGATTAGTTCAGAAGCTGCTATGGAGTCCAGGAGGAGACTTGAGCTAGGTCAAGACTTGAGGTGAGGGTATAGTTGGCCCAGGTCTGACCTCGGCTCGGGATTCTCCTGTGGTTTCTGCAGGACAAAGAGCATCACTGCTAGAGCCAGTGGTCACAGTTCTTTGAGACAAGGTCTCTCTAAGTAGCTCTGGCTGTCCTGGAACTCACTATGTAGCTGAGGCTGGCCCCGAACTCAGAAAGATGTGCCTTTGTCTTTGTGCCGGGATTAAAGTGTGGGCCACCACTCCGGGCCTTGGGGTCACAGTTCTGAGAACCTAATATGAAGAACATCCTTCAGGTTGGGCTGAACGTTAGTTAAGTTGCCTTCCAATCACCTTAATAGCATTGCCTCTCATCTGCCGTCTATCAGCCTTCCATCTAATGGGAGACTAATTCTCCAACAGCCAACATTTCAGACCTGACTTCCTGGCTTTCCCAGTCTGGGGAAAAGCCATCTCACTTCTGCCCTCTACTCTGGGTCAGGAGGCAACAGTGGACAAGCACACACTCATAAAGAACAGCCAAGCCTCTGCCACAGCTACACTTTATTTGGTGTTTTCCACATGTGCAAAAGTATCCCAGAAAGCTGGGCCCCACAATGTGTAAAAAAAAAAAAAAAAAAAAAAAAAAAAGACCCTCTATAGGGCAGAGCTGTGCAACCATAAAAAAAAATTAATAATAAGAGAAATCAGTCCCACAG